GCCTACATGTAATAGTAGCAGTAGCGGTTACGGGAGCAATTGCGAACTTTTTTCGTCCTTAGTCGCCGCTGGCCGTTGTTTGTCTGATGGACAAGCCGAGACCATGCCATTGCCCCTTTAATTGGGATCCAGAATACATGAGAGTGGGCAGCTCGGAGAAAAAGATCACGTTTTTATGCATCTTTGCGAAGGCTTCGGGATCGCCAAAGGATTTTCTTCACTTATTGCCGGATCGGAGGCTTTTGAAGGCCTGTGTGTAGTCGTTCCTCTCCCAATCAACATCCTGGTTGAGAGTTGTGTAACAAGGGCGTTGCCACAAAAGTCTACTAGACAGGCGTGAATATGCACCGTTTGTCATACTTTCTCCTCTTGGTCCAAGGATGTTCAAATTATCTCTAGAGGGGCCGACTCAGTGATTGCTTGCCTCATCAAACAAATAACCCGAGCATTGAGCTTGGGGAGCCATCGTCGGCCACAGCGGCGGGGAACAACCAGGGACATCCCTGCCTAGCAACTCGCTTGCCCTATTAGAGGGCCTTCCAAGCATATGGGGTTTCCTATATTTAGTTGGAGCTTCGGGCCACAGCCAGTTAAAAGTTGTGTTGATGTGCTGGTCTCAAGTCAGGCACAGGGCCTGTTGATCTTGATCTTGGGGGCTCGGCTCTCGTACAATCAGGACTCAAGCGCTACACGTGTTGATCCAGTAGGATTCCGAGGATGTTCGACTATCCTCTTTAGCCGTAGTGAAACAAGACGTTATTCAACGTTTATTGTCGGCCCACCAGCACAAGCCAGGCTGATCGGATCATTGGGAGTTGATCCACAAGCCTAAACATCATGATCGTCTCGATATATAACCTTCACAGGGCGGCTCCTCTTGCCGATACTGATTGTTCATCATCATCAAAGGCAGGTTCTCGCATTCTTTCACCGATTCCTTCATTCATTCAACCACATTCATTTCAATCGCAACCATGGTCGCTGCTATTCCCTTCGTCCTCGCCGCCGGCGGTCTTCTTGGTCTTGCCCAGGCCAAGCCTTGCGGTGGTCACCACTCCCATCGCCCAAGCTCCCAAGTGGTCACTCCCACGAGCACCATTGTCGGCACTCCCACCAGCCGCCCTGTGGTTTCTGCTTCCAGCTCCCTGACCCCCTCGGCCAGCTCCGTCGCTGCCTCCTCTGCCGTCTCGTCTCCTGTCTCGTCTCCTGTCTCGTCTCCTGCCAGTTCTCCCGCCGCCAGCTCCAGCAGTGCCTCTTCCACGACCAGCGCCTCCGGACCTGCGCCTACCGAGTACAAGAACTACAAGGGAGATGGCACCGTCGCCCAGGGCTGGCCCGATATCGCTGAGTGGGCGGATTTCGAGACCCTGTAAGTTTACCAACCCACATTCCAAAATCCCCGGTTTCAAGTTGAGTATGCTTATCCTGTCTTTAGCTGGACTCGCAACATTGCTCTCAACGAAGTTGCTTGCAACGGCCTGTCCATTGCTCCCAACAGCGAGGCTGAGAACGCGGTCCTCAAGTCCTCCATTAAGTCGGGAGCCGCCCAGGCCAACCTCGATGAGCGCTTCGTCCTCGCCACCGTCTTCCAGGAGTCCGCTGGATGTGTCCGCGTCAAGACCTCCACCTCTCCCAACGCGAAGATCCGCAACCCTGGTCTGCTGCAGTGCTTCAACGGCAGCTTCACCTGCAACGACGTCGACGCCGGTGTCCCGATCCTTAATCCTTGCCCTGATGAGCAGATCATCGGTATGCCCCCCATTTTGCCTTAAGAGTTGGCGCCTCTAGTTTCTAATAACACGTGTGACAGGTATGATTACCGATGGTCTCGGCATCACCACCTCCGACGGATTCATGCAGTGCGTCAACGAGAAGGCTGGCGCCTCCGACGTCAGCAAATACTACAAGGGCGCTCTATACTACAACTCCGGTGTCATGCCCGAGAGCGGCAACCTGGGCAAGGGACGAGCCAACGCCTGCTACTCCAGCGACATTGCCAACCGTGTCATGGGATGGTCCGGAAACAGGTCTCCTTGCAACAAGACCACCATTGGTGACCTGTAAGGTTTCTCAGTCAGAGAGACTGGGCTGGAAGCGCAATCACCTGGCAGCAGACAGGTCATTGGGGATCTCGGCGACAAATTGGGTTTCCATATGATGGGCTGGGCCTGCTGCCGGGAGATTTCTTCCTGCCTCGATTGCACCTCGGCTTGGACGGTGTTGTAATTTAAAACTTAAAAACGGTTCAGGCATGAATTTCTGTAGATATTCAATCTCAATGCCTTACTAGGAGATGTATCATAGACTGTGTAGAGACATGTTGAAATAATGACATCGACTCCTAGCTTCATGCTCCCATTCATTTGAAAGACCACCTTGGAGAATTATCATATTTAAGATGGATTCATAACCAGAACGGCCACTGACATATTGAGAAGGGTGCGTTAAGCCTCCATGCCCTACAATGTCGGGACATCCCTCTCTAGATTCTCCCAGTTCGGGAACCTCCTAGGCCGGTAAATCAAGGCTAGAATCAATTTCGGGGAGCTATCACGTTTTAGATGGCATTCCTTCCCTGCCACTTATCTGGTCCGTCTTCCATACTGACGAGGCCTAAAACACTGGCTAGGGATGAAGTATGTAATATCCCTCTACTCACGACAGGCGATATCTAGAGTTTTTATTGATACTTGTAAGAAGCATGAGAGAATTGGGGGTAGCGAATAAATGATGGCACTTTGCGTTATCACTGAAACCTTTTTTCCGTTTTGCTAAATACTTGACTGTGTGTCTGGGCAATGCTTAATACCGTATTCTAATGTTTATGATAGAAATTAAAGCTTTTATGCGATAATACTTCTTGTCGTTATTGAATCTAGTTCCTAGTTGCTTCTCCTTCCCTAGACTCAGCATGAAAAAGCTCGCGTTTCGTGGTAGAGCTTCTCCAAGATTGATTTCTTGTGTGTCAGCCCCAATTTAAGTCTTGCCCCCTCTCAAGCCTCTGTACACAAGTAGACTGAAGTTACGAACCACTCAATCCATGTTCGCAGAATAAGCTTACGCGTTGGGGCCCTTGAGAAGGTCCTCCAGACTCCCATTGAGGACGACGGTGATCTTCTCGCAAAGTGTCGGGTCACAGATCTCCTCGTAAGCCTTTGGAAAGGTAGCTTGTTAGCTTCGCGTGCATCATTGTTGTCGGCAGTAAAGTACTTACCAGGAGCTTGCCGGGCTTGTTAGTGCAATCCTCCTTGAGAGAAACGCGACGAGTAATGGACTCGGACAGGGTATCCGGACCCCAGTTAAAGACGGTCGGTGTCAAGGGTGCGGATTCACGGTATTGGTGAAGGTTATCTGCGTTTTACAGAGTTAGAAGCATAAATAAATAATGAGAGATAGCGTGCTTACCCTCGAATCGGTAGGTAACTTCAGGGTTGCCGGCGCCTCGCTGACCCCAGCCAACGGCATCAATGCCCCATTGGGTTCCTTCCATACGGTCGGCGATATTGGACACGGGCTGGTCAGGACCCTGGAAGAGGACTGATTATATTGTAAGACTTTTGTTCCTTATGGACTATTGGGGCCAGAACCATACCGTAGACATTAAATCCAGCCTTGACGAGGTTGGCAGCTTCGTTACGGAGTGAAATATCAACCGCAGTGACATTGTATCCCTGATCGATAACCATTTGGTGGTGGGCCGGGAATCCACTGTAGGTGTGTGAGTTACGGTTCCTCAATCCAGAAGCTTGCAAGTGACATACGTGTAGAAGACATTGACTTCACCGCAGCCAACGTCGGCTGGGTAGTTGATCTTGGTGTGGCTTTGGCTGGGACTGGGCTTGGGAATTGCCAGAGCACCTCCGATGAGGTTGAAGAAAGCGATGTTCTTGATTGAGTTCATATTGAATGATACTTTGGAACTGTTAGAGACTCGAAATGGCGATAAGATATGATTCTTTGAGCGGATTGTTCAACTTTTGGGTGGGTGAAGTATTAGAACTCCAAGAAGGGGCAGAGGACTGGCGACTTATATACTTTTGCCTCTTCTTCCTCTTACCTTCGTCAAAACCACCAACTTCACTACATCTTCGCCATGGACAAGCAAACAAACACCCTGACAACTTCTAGCCAGGTCCGGAATCCTCGGGAGCTCCTGGAGGAAGGAGTCATCAATGCTGGCTGACCATCTTGCCTCCTCGGCAAACTCTGGGAGATCTGCAACCCGAGCCCCGGAAAGGCGAAATTAAGCATATTATTGACTATCAGCCTATCAGATCGCCGGCTACATCTGGGCATGTAATCGGCGCGAGAGAGATGTTAACCGAGATCCAATTTATCGCTGTACGATCCGTGTCGGGGACTGCTGTCAGCGAGCCGTGCGCCCCGTGCCTTCGCCTTTCGGACCGCTGACACAATGCAGATCAGTAAATGAGCATCCTTACTCCTGGAAGATCCCTCGGATCCTCCTCGACCTCGATGCCAGCTTCTCACCACGCTGGCCGATTAGTAAGCGGGCTCGCGCATGCGACTGCTCGCTCTGTTGTGATTCGGTATGGTGACACTCGCGTTTCGCCCTTGACATGGCACCTGCTATTATCTGCTTAAAGTTACGGTGTAGTAAATTAACAGTCTCATGGGTATTAACGGTGAGAGAGGCCGTGCACATTTGTTGCGTTGATCTAGTTGGTGGACTCCCGAAGTCATAGACTCATAGGATTTGGGTCGCGATGCAACCTCGGATATCAAAGGCTGAAACAATGGATTATGGAGGTATATAGGCGGGCTTTGCTTTGGGTGTGAGGTGAGAAAAGCTGAAACTGGCAGTATTCCTGACTAGAGACATGAGCTGTTGGTTCAATATCATAGAGCTGTGGTGGTTAGTAGTGCACATCGTGCATCACGAGATGCCTCAATTTCACAGGGATCTTCGGGTCGCCTGAATATACGTGGTAGATTTGGTATTAAATCAGCGGCTCGTTTGGAAGAGATAGCTGAGTGTATTATTTATGCAAAGACGTCAACTCGCCAGCTTCGATAATCTGCTTCTCCGCTCCGTTGAGCGCAATGTAAACCAAAGCTTTGGCAAGGTCCTGGACCTGGATCGCGCCATAAAGTTTGCCTGTGAGCTTTCCCAGCGTGCTGACATTTGAAGGCAGTACGCCGCTCGGTCGGGGGCAAAAGACATCGAATCGACCGTCTTTATCCGCAAGATCACACAATCCTTTTTCAACTTGACCCTGGAGACTCTGTGAGTACTAGAACGATGGGTTGAGCCTCATGGCACGTACCTTGACATGTCGAGAATCGGCCATGAACAGGAGGGACTTTTGTTGATCCCATTCCGCCAACATGCCGCTGCAGAAGACGAACCGAAACCGCTGATTGTCTGCCAATGCCGGCGCGAGACGCTGCTTGAACGCGCGAGCAGCGGCGAGGGTGAAGTCAACAGACACCTTGCGGAACGTGTCGAGATCGGGGAAATGGGGAGCGCGTCCGCCAATAGCCCTGGGCAAAAACCGTCAGCAATTGAATGGGGTTTGTCTCTCGTGATGACGCACCAAATGCAAGCCTCACACCCGGCAAGCTGAGTGAGCAGATCTTCCGGGTACTTGGAGAAGTCGGCGTGAGGAATTACGGTGACCTTGGCATTGTCGCTAATCTCCTTGGGCAGATCCTTTCTCGAGAGGACAAACGCGTGTGTGATGCCGTCATTCGCGATGGCTTCGCGAATAACGGCACTTCCTACGAGACCAGTCGATCCGGTAATAATGACCTTCATTTCTCAAGATACGCGGTCGGGCGCGAGGGAACTTGTGTTGGTTTCAGTGTTACTTCTGCGTTTGTGTTGGTTTCAGTGTTACTTCTGCGTTTGTGTTGATGTCACACTGCGGGGAAGATTGAGATAATTAGAGGCGGTTGGCTGATGCTCTATTGGGCTGCCTGTTCAGGCAGGTTACACTACCTTTACGGTTGCACTGACAACTAACTAAAAAACAACTTCTGAGCTACCGGACCTACATGATAGATATGATAAAGTGAACATGAGTATTCAAGGAAATAGCGAGGCTATTAGTTTCCAATACTTGCCGAGGCTATGTCCCTCTAGTTTTCTCCATCTTCCTGTTTTGAATCCTTGCTCACATTCTGAAGGTGCGGCGCATCCACCGTCTTATTGAGGAATGAAGTAAAGTACTCCTCCATGTCGTGAGTAGCGAAAAAGCAAGAAATCAGAGCAACTCCGCCAAATGCGAGACTGCTGAGATACACAGTAGAGTACGACTGTGCGTAGGCGCGCTTGATTGCGGCAGTGACAGCCTGGCTGATGCTTTCAGTCATCCCTGGAACAGACCCAATGGCTCGAGCTGTGGTGCTCTTCGCGATCACTTTCAAGAGCTCGGGAATGCCATCCGCCGCGAAACCAGCGTCCGTAGCAGCCTCGGAAACATATCCTCCTACCTTATTGTTGTACTGATTAGTTTGGATGGCCACATATATGCTTGCTGCTTAGGGTATTAGCAAAAAGATATTAGATAGGTTCTAGGGCTGTCATACTCGCGATTGTTCCGGTGATGGCTCGGAAAGATGCGAAAAAGGCTGTGCCAGAACCAATGTGCTCTGGTGGAATAACAAGACTGGCCACCACGATACATATGAGCTCAATCCAACCCACGAAAAGTCCAATGACCACAGTCATCTAGGTTGTTTGTTAGCTGAAACATTCGTCAGCTTGTGACAAGTGAAGTCAAAGTATACATACTGCAACGCTGAGAGCCTCTCGAGACTCGTTGCCAAGAGACATGATGCCGCAAAATATGCACAGTCCAGTCATTGAAAGGAACATTTGCAGCTTGACACGCATGCCCTTTTTGCAGAGCGGGCCGGTGAGGACTTCGCCAAAGGCGAGTGCAGCCCCTGTTGTGCACTGAAATGGCGTGAGCTATAATACAAAGATCAAACAAATCCGGGAAACTTACAGACATCCAACCAATCTTGATATTGTCTGTGGTATAGAGGTTGGTGACTTGCTGTGGCCATATGACATTCAGCGCATAGAAAGACATTTGGCCAACAGATCCCACAATGACAGCGACATTGTAGTTGGTGATTTTGAACAGGTTCATGGGAACCAGCGGGGCTCGTGGTGCCATGTATATTTCTAGCAATCTAAATTAGCTTGATACAATTAATGCGTGATTCAGAAGCCTTCGCCTACCGTATAAAACGAAAGAGACTAATACCACAATTCCAATGACGAGAGTAGCAACGACCTGCGCGGAGCCCCAGGTGTATTGGCGACCGCCCCAAGCTGCGAATTTACAAGTTAGACAAGCTCTTGTTTGTATACCAAGGGAGTAAGTATATCATACTGAGTGCGAGTAGGAGACACACAAGACCTCCCCCGTAGAGCAGAAAACCAACAACGTCAATGTTCTTTAGCTGCTCCTTTTTGCTCGTGCCTTGGCTCAGTTGGTCAAAGTCCGGAGGGAAGTAGCAGACGAGAAACAGAACAAGGGAAGTGCCAACGGTAATAGCATTGAGCCAATATACCCACCTGCATGTAATTAGTATGTTACGTCGTCTTTGGGCTACAGGGATTCGCATACCTCCACCCAAGGGCTGTGTATTCGACCATCATGCGCGCAAACCCCGGTCCTAAGCCCATCGAAGGGAAGGCGGAGAGGGTGATGAGAGACTGCGCGGTACCACGGTGTTTATTGGGCACGATCTCCATGATCAGCAGCGGATACAGCACTTGTGTAGCTCCCCCCAAGCCGATGAAAACATTGGCACCGATCAATGTATTAATGTTCTTCGACGTCGCTGCGATGATGGCACCGACCAGTCCGAGGGCTTGACCGGCGATGATAAAGTATCGTCGACCCAGAACATCGCTAATACTGCCCACAAGCAGGAGGAACACGCCTTTGATAAGAGTGTTGATGAGCGAGGCAAGGTAGATGCTGGAGTCAGGGCCTAAAACAACGTGTTAACTTTGCGGAAAGCTTTCTGGGGCTCTGAAGGTCCGATGGTACATACCTAAGTCCGCATTGATGACATTGAGGACATTTGTCTAACTCAAGGTTAGCTTTCAAAATATGATGAGGTCTGAAGCAAAATAGTTTGACCATACAGGCATCGCGTAGCCAATAAATAAGTTGTTGGCAAGGAGGACAATGGCGACTGTGGAACCGATGAACCTTGGAGAGTACCAATAGCCTGTAGGAACACCAGCCCCTTCCTGCTCTACCGGTCCAGAATTTTGGGGAACCGTTGCAGGACCATCCTTCCGATTCTCGATCATGTCGACTTCGCCTTTCTTGACATCATCCATGGTGCTTCTTGGTAGTGAGCAGCAACCTCAAAGTTATCAAGAGGACGATTCGGTGGTCCGATCTAGGTTGTCTGATAAAGTCTGCATATTTGCGTAGTTTTAGTCTACTTAAGACCTTAAGACACACACCAGGGCAGTAGGAACTAGGGATAGAGGCCATCGATGCTAACGCCTAGAAGCCCAGGCTACGGGAAAACGAAATCCACGCGAGAACGATACACATCCTTGTCCGGTGAATGCAGATACCCCGCTTCCCCGCAAAGATGCCCCTTTCGCCTCTGGAAGTTATCAGAACCAACAATGAGCAGCGTTCAGAAATAGATCAACTGCTAGGTTAGGGCTTACAAGACAACCCCCTCCTTGGTGGCGCTAATGGATGAGTTCTTGCGTACCGGAAGCTCATTGTCCTGAACAATGGCGATCCCGCATCCCTGTTTGTGCGGATATTAGTCGAGCCATTTCCCGTTCCAGGTCTCTGTGCTATTGACGGTAGAAAGCCGCCCAGGAAGTCTATCGCGGTTTACTTCTTTTACGTGGCATCTGAGGGTTTGCATGGGATATCTTAACCGAACTCTGCTAATAACCTCTGAAAGTTATCCCGGCACTAATGGCTGTACTCGGTCAACATACGATACAGCTTCGATGTGGCTGTAATTAATATTCATTAGGGCCATTTGGGTTGCTGCTACTTGTATGGAAGGCTTGTCCTTGGGATACTCCCATGTCGTGAAGTCTGTTTGGCTCTCTAGCTGGCCTTGTTGTAAAATGAGTTGAAAAAATACGTGAAATTAGAAAATTTCTTAGAGAGAATTTGCTAAATTCTAGCCATTGGAGCGTTGGACTTAGCCAACGGCGAGTTGCTGCTCTTTGTCCACTTGACCTCAAAATTCGACCAGTCTTTTAGACCGCTCTTACAGGCCTCTCTGTACCTAATCATTCCGCCAAGGTAGTTTAGCTGTTCTCGCTTCTTGCCTGGAATATTGGCACCAAGATACCACGAAGAGTCATTGAGCCTGAATAGTAATGAATCACTGATGTCTTGGCACAGTGTCTTCCAGTTCTGCTCGGCTGCTCGACGTGGTTCTATGGTCTGGACTCCCTCTTTTTTTAGTTTCAATAGTAGAGCAGCGACAATCTCAACTTGCTCCTCGATGAAAATAGGAGCATTGGTGAAGGCCGTTGGTGCTATGAGAAGAATTAGCCCTTGTTATAGTAAAGTTGTGCGCGAATAGTAGCTTACCTTGCGGTCCATATATCATGAACATGTTTGGGCACCCCCCTGCAAAGATCCCTAGATACGACCAAACGCCATCCTCCCAGCGTTTCTTCATGTCTATGCCGTCCTTACCCCGTAGCCCCATACTGGTGAGCGAACCTGTCATATTATCGTAGCCAGTGGCCATGATGACGATGTCATGCTGCCTCTCCTTTCCATCATCCGTGACAATGCCCGATCGGCTGAATTCACGGATAGGTGTCTTTTTCAATCCAATGATATCTACATTATCCCTGTCCAGACATTCATAGTAGTCTTGCTCTAGACTGCTTCTCTTTGTGGCAAAGGGATAAGGCTGCACCCTCGGGGCCACAATTTCCTGCTTGGCGGGATCCCGGACTCGTTGTCGTACCTTGAATGCCCAGAACTCATAAATCTGTCTGCTGGTTTCCTCGTTGGAGAGAACGTCTGAATAATTGCCTGCCTGGAAACTGAAACCTCCGCGCGACCAGAGCTCTTCCCAGAAACGCTCGCGCTCCTCGGCGCTCACGTCGGCACCGGCAATTGACTGTGCATCGCATGCCAAGCCAGCATTCGTATCGCGCGCCAGTTGAAACAGTCCTCTATATATCCCCTTTTGCGATCTTTGTTCGAGAGGGGAGATGTCTCGCTGACCCATTGGAAGCGCGATATTGGGGTTTCGAATGTATACACTGAGATTACCAGCAACTTTGGAGATTTCCTGAACCAGTTGGACCCCTGTGGCACCGGCGCCAATGACGGCGACTCTCTTGCCTTTGAAATGAACTGCCGATTTTGGCCAAGAGGATGAGTGGACTAATTGACCCTCATAGGCGCTGAGGTTGGGAAACTCAGGCGAATATGCCTTGTGAGAGCTCCCACTCGCGGGGACGAACCACTTGCAGGTTGCAATCTCGCCACTCGAGGTAGTGATAGTCCATAAACCGGAACTAGTATCGAAATCTGCCCCATTGACGATGCTCTGGTAGCTCACGTCCTTGGATAGATCGAGGATCTTGTCCACATGTCGGAAGTATGCCTTTATCTCAGTATGATCTGGGAAGCGCTGCGACCAGCTCCAGTCGCGCCAGACTTCAGGGATGGTGAACTGATAATATGGCATTTCAGAGTCGACGCGAGCACCAGGATAACTGTTCCAGTGCCAGACGCCTCCGAGCTCCGAGCCGGCCTCGAACACGTGGATTGAGAAGCCCAATTGTCGGAACTTCCACAAGGCGTAGCAGCCCCCAAAGCCACCGCCGACAACAATGATGTCATGATGGGGAATACCTGGTATCCCTTTGTCTCGGATTACGGAGCTCATGATCTCCTGAGCTCAGAAGCGAAAGTTATCAAAAGGCAAAAGATTGTGGCTCTGTGGTTGAGTGCCTGACAATTACCCAAAACACAACAGCACTGTCAGTGTCCAGACGAACGCGATGTCACAAATTGTGCAGAGATTGGATACTAGTATCAGACTCAAACTTTATGTTAGCTTGAACCCGGATGAGGAAGCAGCTGCTTCATGGTTGCGAGGGAACTCGTTCTCCGGATGACGGCTGGGAGCTGCCAACGTCACTGTCGAGGCAGTCGGAAAATAAGAATCCGCCACCATCACTACAGCCAATGCCAATTTTCCGGAATGCCCAACTCACTGTGAGCCAGGCCAAGATCATACAGGAAGTTGATTGGAGTTCCACGGGCCCGCATTCCCCGTGGGGAATCCCTGCTCTGGAAGTTCAGATGGTCCAGGAGCGGGGTTTTGGTGTCACGAAGGATGCACGTTCGCGAGTCATGCGGGTATCGTCAACCTCACGCTGATGGGATGATCAAAGAGCAAAAGCCTCGGCTATTGAGGAAGTCAGATATGATATTTCTTTGATGAAAAGTAGTGCTATTGTGGTAAGGCGATCCTGAGAAGCTGCACGTCGCGGCGTTCACGGACTGTACGACTTCGCTCGATCACGATGACACGAGTTTTGCTACCAGATCAGGCTTCTGTAGGCTATCAGCAGTTTCAAAAGAATGATAATGCCGAGATCAACGCCTCAGAGCCCATTCTCGGAACCGCATGCGGGCCATATGGCCAGCGACTTGTTGTTCAAGTTGTGGACGAACTAGCAGAAAGAACTCCTGACAGGGTTTATGCGACAGTGACCAAATCCGCCCATGATGTTGATCAAGGGTTTCGTGACATCACCTTTCGGAACTTGGCAGATGCTGTCAATCTGGTTAGCTGGCGCAATCAGCAGCTTTTTGGCCGCAGCCATGATTTTGGGGTAATTGCATATTTGGGAGTCTCTGACGTTCGTTACGCATTTTACCTCTTTGCGGCTATCAAAACTGGCTACAAGGTACGTTTCATCTCTTTTGGCTGTTGTAGGTTCATGTTGTATTTTAGCCGTGATAGTGCTGATACATTTCAGTTGATGATTCCCTCCGTGCGCAATTCCCTCTCGCAACATCTGGCGGTGTTGGATGAAGCGGGCTGCAATATTTTGTATTATACAGTCGAGATGGAGACCCGTGTTCGAGAATTGGAGAAAGAGAGGCCGCTCCTACGCACACTTCTTGTTGAGAGCCTCGATAACCACATCAACCAATGCACCCCGCACTACAGATATGAGAAGACGTGGGCGGATGCAAGGACAGACCCGATATTGATTGCTCATTCATCTGGATCTACTGGTATGAGAGTCTTCCTTGAAGTTAATCCTAAATTGAGACTCACATTTCCGTATACATGCAGGCAACCCAAAACCAACGACGCTCACAAACGGCGTGTACTCGACTTATGATAACCACCGAAAAATACCACCTGTTCCAGGCCGTCGAATCCAGAGCTACAATCTACTGGAGTTTGATGGGGGAGGAAAGTTCTTCAATCCTTTCCCCCCCTTTCATGTATGTTCGTCCTCCTGGTGATCCCGCGCCTCAAGTAGCTAATTCATGAGTGCCTTAATAGTTGGCGGGACTGTTCGCTATGACTATCATGCCCATATTTTATAGCTGCACAGTGACTCTTGGCCCCCCAGAGAAACCTCCCAGCGGGGATATTCTCAGCCGAGCGATGAAACAACTCAATATTCGTGCGGCCTGGTGCCCTCCGACTGTTATAGAAGAGCTCGTCCATCTCCCCGGCGGCTTCAACCAGGCATCAACACTCGATTGGATCATGTACACTGGGGGTCCTCTTGCACCCCGGGTAGGAGACCGACTCTGCCATGTTACTTCCATCTGTCAGCTTTATGGATCAACCGAGACGGGGCCTCATATTCCGTTAGTCCCGCTGCCTGAGAATTGGAACTATTTTGAATGGCATCCCTTGTTGGAAAATGAAATGGACCCCATGGGCGATGGTACCTTTGAAATGGTTGTGAACAGGGACCCGTCTTTAGATTGGATTCGACATCTAAGCCAAGCATATCCTAACCTCGATGTTTGGCGGACAAACGATTTGTTTGTCCAAGCCCCCAACAACCCCAACCTCTGGCGCTTTGTCGGACGAAGAGACGACGTCCTTGTTCTATCAAATGGCGAAAAGTTCAACCCTGTGAACATGGAAGGCGCAATCACTGGGCACCCCTTGGTTAGAGGAGCCTTGATCGCTGGCACGGCCCGTTTCCAAGCCTGTCTCATTGTTGAGCCGTTAGAATACGGCGCAAACTTATCAGATTCTGAGTTTATTGACCGGATTTGGCCAACTGTGGAAGAAGCCAATAAGGTTGGTCCGGCACATGGACGCATCTTCAGGTCCAAAGTTATGGTTGCGAAGCCTGAGAAACCATTCAAGCGCGCTGGTAAAGGGACGGTGATACGGGGACAGACAACTCGTCTATATGCTGACGAAATTGATGCACTGTACAATGACCCGGTGGGTTCTGAGGGTCCCGTTTTACATTCATGGGATTCGGTTGAGCACATACGGGAGTATGTAAGAGCAGCGATAGCATGGTTATTACCCCCAACTCATGTTCCTCGTGGAGATGATGACGATATTTTTGTTCTGGGTATGGATTCCCTGCAAACCTCCGAACTCGCAAAGACATTTCAGAAGACCATATCTCCTCTCGTCGGCGGTTCATCTCCTCCCAAGCTGGCACCTAGTTCTATATACGCGAACCCCTCGATCGGAAAACTGTCCACCCTTCTCTTCAACATTTTACACGGCGATGGTATTGAAGCATCATCGGAAGAGGAGGGGACAGATAGGGTGGGATACATGGCTAAGCTGGTCGAAGACTACACCTCCCATCTAGCTGCTATCAGGAGATCTGACTCCCCAACCAAATTGCATGTCGCTATTACCGGGACCACGGGATCACTTGGGACCCATCTACTGGAAATGATGGTCAATGACCCAGGAGTCGGGTGTATCTACTGCCTAAATCGCGATCGGAACGCTCAAACACGACACCAAGCCGATTTCGATGGCCGAGGTATCGCGTTAGATCTTGATGCGTTGAGTGAGAGGGTCAAGTTTATGCAAATCACTGTCGGCGATGCCAACATGGGCTTGAGTGAGGCAGATTGGAGCACACTCGCGAACAAGATGGACATCATAATCCATAACGCATGGAAGGTCAATTTCAATCACAAGCTGCCTTCATTCAAGGATCACCTTCACGGCTTGAAGGATATATTGAGCCTCACCACTAGCCCAAACACAAAACGACCGCACGTCTTCTTTGTGTCCTCGCTGTCCACGGTTGGAAATTGGCCAAACCTCTGCAAGGATGTCAATCGAGTCCCCGAGATTGTGCCTCAAGATTATAATTTTGCACTTGCTATGGGCTACGCAGAGTCAAAATTGGTAGCCGAGAGGATGATCGCGGAAGCTATTACTACCACTGAAGCGAAGGCTAAGATCCTCCGTGTTGGACAAATTGCAGGCCCCTTGTCTCAAAATGGGGGAGAATGGCACAGGACAGAGTGGCTGCCTACACTCGTTCAGACATCCAAGGCGCTGGGATGTCTCCCCGACTCCATGAATATGATCGATTGGGTCCCGGTCGACAAGTTGTCGCAAATAATCAGCGAGATCGTTCAGCATGAACATAAGCAGAGTGGCTCTTCACCTGTTTATAACCTTGTTAATCCTCGCCTGGGCAAATGGGATGACCTTGTTACGGAAATACAAGAGGCATGGAAGCCGGCCCTGACGAGAGTAGTGCCTTTTTCAGATTGGCTCAGGGTATTAAAAGACCAAGGAACAGACCTAGAGAAGTTTCCTGCGCTGAGACTTCCGGAATTTTATCAAGGATTGGCTGCAGACGCGGAATCTTGCAAGGAGAGGCAAGTTGTCTATGCCACCGACAACGGGATCGAAGTCAGCCCAACGATGAGGCAATTACAGCCGATTGATGGGAAGGCTATGGGAACCTGGTTAAATCAATGGAAATTCTGAATTATGGCATTCTGTAGTTATCACAATGATAGGCTCAGATAACTTAGTGTCCGTAGGCAGTCAGTCAGATAGAGAAGTGTTTTACGTAGCGACGTATGAACGTTTGAACATGAGATGTGTAAATCGACGAACTACGGCAGGTTTGATGAACATGCACATGGGACTGTTGGTGTCATGGACTGGCTCGTGATGCAGCCATAACGCGCTCCCTCAGAAAGCCTGGCGCAAGGAGTTGATGGTTTGTCAAACGCGGGAAAAGGGTTGGAGTAATTAGGAGAAATGCCGTTGAAGGCCACACATGATCAGTTCGTTTCAGAAAAATTCCGAAGAACAACGGACTCACGCAATCTTGCTCAGGGCGGATTTTCAGTCTTTGATCTCTCTATCGACGCACGACGCTCATCCGCCCCGCTCGAGCCATGCAGCTAAAAAGAATTTTCAGCACATCCTTTGTGCCTTGGGAGAAACGACTTGAATTCCACCCGTTTGAAACTGGCAGTTGTACAGGGATGCCTCACAAATGGGTTGTTACAGAGACAGAGTCCGATGCCTAGCCTCTGGGCGGCAAGGCAACAACTTGAAAGCTTCAGAAACCGCAATAATTCCGCACATGCGTTGACCAAGGCCGTGCTGATGATTTGAAACGCCCGAGACGAGTCTCTCTCCCTTTTATTTGTTTCATTGCTACGGCCACTTAGGAGTATTATTTATTTTAGGCATAGGGATGCTTGAAGAAAAAAGAAATAACGCCCCGTAAACTTACAAGTCTTTGTAGGATCATTCAGTTCCTAATGCGAGGGATGAGTGCGTAGTGTGGCAGCGGGCACTTCTATCGTATGAAGCTCATAGCTGGTACGGTCTTTATCTGACAGGAACAAGTTTGTCAGTAGGGGATCTGAGTCTATCTTCCCAAGCAAATATATAAGAGCCCTATACCTATTTCAAATTGTGTTTTCCCCTACCTTGCTATAGATTCTTTTCTGCTTGGAAAAAACATCAACCAGACTTCAAATTACCGCTAATTCACTCAAAATCAACAATCATCTCAACAATGTCGAATAATCAGGCACTCAAATGTGGTGTATGCGGAACCCCCGGGGCACAGCCGGTAGTGCTTCACGTCAGGCTTGGCCAAAATGTTTTTCAGCAAGACACTGATGAGCCTCACATTGATGGAAAGGTGGTGATATATATTGTTCAGCAGAAGACCGATGAGCCTCACACTGGTGGAGAGGTGGTAGATCTCTCAAACCGCGACGTGTTTTCAAGAAACACTATTGACGAGGATTCGCTTCTCTTGAGAGCTGGTGTCTTGGCAGCAAATCCCGCAGAAAGGCCCCAGAATCCGAGTATACAGTCCCCCTTCGCCGTTAGTGTTGAGGGCAACACGGTGATGGGTGGCAGCATGCTCGTTGTTGGGCCTCTGTGTGACTCTGCACTAACGAACCTCCTAAACAATCGGACAGAAATGGCAAAGTTGAGGAATAAATAGATGGCCAGAAAGCGCTTTGAATCGCTGACAAATGATCATATATTAGCGTCGGTCAAGAGGCATATGCTTGGCAGTGAGGGATTTAAGTCAAATCAATCTTCCCCAGCAAATATATCAGAGCCCTGCACCTGTTCTATATTGTGTCTTCCCCCACCTTGCTATAGATTATTTACTGCTTAGAACAGACAAACATCAAACAGACTTCAAATTACCGCTGGTGCACTCAAATTCAACAACCATCTAAACCATGCCGGATGACCTGGTACTCGTGCGCAAAACCCTCCAGTCACAGCCGGAAACGGTTATCGCCGGGCGTAACGAGACTATTCAGCAGGACAACCCTGGGCCTCAAACCGAAGGAAAGGCGGTAGATTCCTCCGATTGCGACCTGTTTTTAGATAATAATGTTGACAAGTATTCGCTTATCTTGAGAGGTGGTGACTTGGCAGCAAAGCCCGCAGAGGAGCCAGCAGCAAAGCCAGCGGAGGAGCCAGCGGCAAAGCCTGCAGAAAGACCCCAGAATCCGAGTACACAGTCCCGGTTCACCATGAGTGTTGAGGGCAACACGCTGCGTAATGGCAGCATGCTCATTGTGGGGCCTGGGGCTGATCTCAAGAGCGTCCTGGAGGCTCGGATAGAAATGGCAAAGTTGAGGAAGGAAGAGATGGCCAGAAAGTGATTTGAATCGCTGGCAAATGATAACTTCATTATATCAGCGTCGGTCAAGAGGCACATGCGCCAGCCCACCTGCGACACAATTGCACGAGTAGTCACATAAGCAGGATTGACTGCAGGGAGCATTTATATATTTGTCAATATTTCCCTTATTTTTTGAACAGTTACTTGTATCCCCGCGTGATGAAGGCTATGAATAATGGCACCCACCTCTATCGAATGCTGTCATTCTGAACTTCAACCACATTGAACATTTGTCGGCTTCTCGCAGTTCCAATACCCGATTCTGTAGATGAGAACGTAAAATATAAACTTATGAGTTAATATGTATATGTGTTCTCTCTCTCTCCGAACCTCAAAGCCATAAGGAGCCTATTTCAAATAAGCATCTCCAACTTCTTCACTGAGCACATCAAACATAGGCTGGGCGCTGAACCATCCCACACCACCCAAACCAACACTCTTGTACGTAAATTCAGCGTCTTCCTCGTCGATGGGTATCGGCTTCGTAGCCGCAGCCTCGGCCATGAGCTGGGCCTGGCAGCATTTCTCAAGCGACACGAACCAGAAGATGGCAGCCTCCACGGTTGACCCGCAGGTTAGGAGGCCGTGATTTTGCAGAATGCAAGCCTTCCGGTTGCCAAGATCCCGCGCGATATTTCGTCCTTCCTCAGCTGCGAGGACAGCGCCCTTGAACTGGCGATAGACACCCACATCGCGCCAAAAGGCACATGCGTCTTGCGTAAGCATGTCGATTGGGCGACCGAGGGTGGCAAACGCACGGCCGTGGATGCTGTGCGAGTGAGCGGCGCAATTCACGTCCGGCCTCGCAGCGTGGACGGCGTGATGGATCATATAAGCCGCCCGGTTGAGCAGCCTGTTGGGTCCACCGTCCACGACTTCGCCCTCGCTGTTCACGAGGATGAGATCAGAGCGCCGCATGAGGGCGAAAGCCCGGCCGAGAGGGTTGACCCAAAAATGGTCCGGCATCACTGGGTCCCGGAGCGTGATGTGGCCCGCGACACCCTCATCGAAACCAAACTTTCCAAACAGACGAAATGCCAGAGCGAGGCGGCCCTTGAGATACTCTCGCTTCTCATACATGTCACTGAAGACGGGAGGTGTTGGTATCTTCTGAAGTTGGACTTCAACACCGTTTTGCTCAACGCCCTTGGCATTGGGGTCTGTTGCCTCCATCTGGCTAAAGTTGACGGTGTTTGTGGCACCAGGACTGTGCCCAGATGACTTTCGAGTGTCTACATTGCTGAGGTAGGTTGCTGTTATGGTTGCCATTGTCTCTGAGTGGTCGTCTTATGACTGAGTTATCGAACACTAAATTATGATGATTGAGAGAATGAACGTTTGAAACTGATGTTTACATGAATTTACCATCAAAGAACGTCGAGACTCCAATCAATAAAAACAACACGTTGTGTTTCGCCACTTTCTACCTTTGTCGAGTTTAATTTACTAGCCCCTCATTCCAAAAGCCATCTGGATAACTTGATCCCATTATCCAATCGGGGACTTGGGTACGTCCGAAACCCGGGTGATGATTTTCCAAACATCGGATATCTTGTGTCCTTGGCCCATGCCCAAATGGGAAGGGAGATGCCTGACTGGTGAGGGGTCAAGCTTGTGGCTACTTTCGCTCTGCAGGTAAGGTTCAGAGCGTCTTAGTTCAGACAATGGAAACAAAGGAGGGGTGAAATCGACCACAAGAAAGAGCTTCTTCCTGACGGGAATCCGCGAATAAATCGAGAAAGGGGCCTGGCGACTATAAACGCAACTGCGCCTTGCGCTAGACTGTACCTACCATTTCCTTGCAATTATATCCAATAACAGGCTCTAATTTCTACTTGGAGGGGTCGTATTCAACCGATCACAGTGGAACGGGATGATAACAGCAGCGGCTGTGGAGGAGAGTTGGATTATGTCAAAATGTGAGGTCTCTCTACAAAGGCTCTCATGTTCCAACAAATAAAGTCAATTGCCAAACTTTGTTGCTTCATGGATCTTCAGATATATTATGTTCTTAATAAAATTCAAGAAAGAGAATCATTGTTCAGTTGTTGTGTGTTTGTTGGGATACTCATGCACTGCACAAAGGCAAACGCTCACAGCACAGGCAGGTTTTGTTGCCACAATGGGCATGTTGTTCTCAAAGTCATTTCAGAGGCGAAATACTCGACTATATTGTTCGCGACCAATTTACATATGATCCCTCTCTGTCAATCATGTTTCCTGGTATAATATAAATTGCATTGAAGAAGCATTTTTCTTTACATAGTGCACACCATTTTCCCTATTCTCTTCGACAAGTTCCTTGGTCATTGAAGATCTCGAACTAAGGACGAAAGACAAAATGACGCCGAGACGCTCTTCTAGATGGCTTAAATCGACTTCCGCGCGGGTAAACCAAGCAAACCACCGATCTTCAGGGCTGGAGTGGTCGGCAGAAGAGGACCGCATTTTGTTGGAAGTACACGGGCGGGATAGGAAGTCTATGCTTGAAGCGCTTCCGGGACGGACTTATCCCGCAATCACATCGCGGCGGCGCAAGTTGAAGGATAAAGCTTCGGAGAGCATCACGATTACTCTATCCGGTTTATGTGAGCAGCAGGACCCAGCCCGTCGAAGGCATTGGAACACTGTCGTTGGCAACCCTTCTCCCAAAGCTGGACAGATATGGTCAGAAGAGGATGACGCAGTGCTGAGAGGTGGAATTCAGGACGGACTAGGCTGGAATGAAGTATCCGAGCTATGTGAACGGTCTGTGGTGGCTTGTAAAGTTCGTTGGAACAGACTACAGGAACAAAATTGGTCAGAACGGGATGGAAGCCGCTTGATGGAATTCAGAAGCCAGGGTATGAGCTGGTCAGATATCGCTTGGGCTTTAGGTCGTAGTAGGTTGTCTTGCCAACGCTACTACTCAGAATCAAAACACCACCGGAAAGCGAAGGTATGATCCTAACTGGATCATTGGGAAACGCGTGGGGTCATTTGTCTGAAGATATTGGGAACGGCCAAGATACATTGAGGAAGAGCACAGTGTTTAATAGAGGACATTATCTGCTTAAAGGTATGAAAAGTGAATGGCAGAAGCTCGTGATAATACTGGTGCCAAAATACCATGTTGAGGGGAATAATAGTTAGAACCGTGGCTACTTTGATTCATGATCTGGAACCATTGCTGAGGGACTGAGAAAATTGGCATTATACGATTAGGCAGACATCCGGCTTATCGTCAAGTTTCGTGGCTTCTTGGGTTGCTGTGCCGTCCTGGGCCACTGCGAACTCTGGTCTAGACCATAAGAGATACAGCTTTAGTATCTTCCCATACGGAAGGCATAGGAGTAGCGCCAAAGCAAGTTTACTACCAGAGGACCGATTCAGAGGCCGGGCTGACTAAGTGTCATCCCCTCAGTTTCTCCGACGATTGATCGGCTCCAGGCATTGTGCGGTCGGATCTTGTAGGCCATCTTCCTTTAAACAACCTGGGTTTTGCCCACTGCAAATAGCTAACCTTAAATGAGTAGCATTTTACTATTTGTGAAGGCATATAGCCGCCGTAATGCACTAATTGGCCATCCGTAACTTATCTTGGCTCTAGCCCCTTGTCCTTTCATCGCGTCCACTACGCAAAAGTCACTCGAATGACTTGGATGTGGTTGTTGTTCGTAAAAGCCATTGTCAGTGTCTTTCCAGATTCGTCAAGATAAGGATAGGCAACCCCAGCATAGACCAAGCCTTCATTGATCGGGGTAGCTGTGTAGATCTCCTTGGCCGTTGACCAAGGTCCCTCCGGTGAAGGCGCGGAGCGTAGCAAAACCGTTGCTCCTTCTAAATATTTGAAAGACACAGGTTAGCTGACCTACTAAGTCCAACCTAAGAGGATACATTTAGTTGAGAGATTACGATGATGGGTAACATACCTAGGTGGACATAGAAATAAGTCTTGAAGTATTGGCTGTACACAATCTGTCCTTGCCCAGCTCCCCAGAGAACAGCAGTCTCGGTAGTAAACGTAGTCAAGAGGTCTGACTTCCAACCATCTTCTCGCCCCCACCAATACTCGTATTTGGATAGGTCAAAGGCATTGGTGGCCTTGACACGGGTTTGGTAGATGTACGCATTATCTGGCCACGAAGCGATCTTGCCGGGAGCGTTGCCAAGAATGTAGATGTATTCACTGTGGATATCGCGATATGCCGCGACGTCTCCATACTTTGGGTTCTCCTTGGCGTCCCACCAGTATCCATTGTCACCAAGACGTTCGGTGACGATCGGGACACCATTGGTGACTTGGACTTTGGCTACTCCTGCTCCTCGGTAGTCCTCGGCGTGGTTCTGTCAATCGAAGCTCGAGCGGTTAATTCTCTACCCCTCAAAAGTTTGAAATCCGGATAAATGGAGATATCTTACGACGAGATAATAGACGGCACCAGTAGCGTTGGCATAATCCGTCTCAACGAGGCTGGTTCCGCCAAACCCAACCATATTATCCTCTCCCCACTTCTCTTCGAATGGAACGAACTGCTTCTGGTGAGGAACAGGGGAATCATTATTCAGGAACAGATCATGGACAACTAGTGGATTGTCGGTCAATGCCGAGACCGAGTCCCTCACCATGCCATCGAACTGGCCATCAGTATCGGCGTCCTGATCGGATACGCCGGGCGCGCACCACAGAGTGTCACCGTAGACAGCGTACCACTTATCCTGGATATGACCGGCAAATCCAAGATCCCGATGACTGCAGCTGTTGTCGGCGACTTGGTTTCCGAGGAATTCGACAGAAAATTGGCCGATCGGGTTGTCGCCTGCGGGTTGCGTGTTGTCAGCTGGCGACGGAGCTGGTGCCGCGAAGGTCGAGCCCGCCAGTATGAGGGTGGCAAGGCTCTTGCTGGAAGCTATCATGCGGGGCTAGTGTTAAAGGAATGAACAGGCAGAAAAACAAAGATAAGGAACGAATGTGAATGTTATTGAAGAGAAGGGTAGCTGCGGATGAGAGGGATAGCGACACAGTAGGACCGCCTGAGAAGCAACTCAGGGGTTTCGTCTCAGAAGCTAGCTAGAAGCACTCAACCGACCGAATCCTTCGAGTTGCCACCACAAAGCATTAAGCAAATGATGATTGGCTCGCTACATCACTTTATTCTGCGTTGGTAGAGATTGACGTCCGACACAATATCAAACAATTAAGCAGCCGAGCAGCCAAATACTCAAACAATTAGTATGATAATAATCTATTGTTCAAATATTATTGTGGTCACCAATGTCAATAGATGTACTGGAGGGAAATTATTTAAGCAGGTGGTAAGCATTGAGATGTTTTACGGGTCTGTTTGATTCACGTCAGGGTTTATGCAAATCACTAGACCAAACTTGAAGCAGCATCTAGTTGACGCGATCATCCTGGTATTGTGGACAAATCTTGATGATGTGAGGAACACCTGAGCGGGAAATGAAGCAAGGATTGTTACTTTGCAGGGTTGGGCGTCTCAGTGCCATAAGTGAAACACCAACCAGGGCTACTGACTTGATGAGGATCGCAGGCACAGCGCGTTTTAGTAAGCACCAAGTAACATTCACCAGTCGGGAATGAGGTTTGTGTGTTATATGAGGTGATCCGTTCCCCCATGGGACGGAGTGACCAGGAGATGCGTAGCGCAGGTGTCTAACAATGGCCTATCAAGATGGAAACTCTCTATATCCCCAAAACTGAATCTTTCTTATACCAATTGCTTCCCATAACGATGTAGTTGTAGACATTAGATTCGATGGAGGAAAAGAACATAGCCTACATCGGCAACTTCCTCATTGCATCTTGCAAGAGCTACTGCCGAGTAGAGTTGTTTAAGAGGGAAGAGAGCCAAGCCTAGGCTCGTTCATTCCCCAGGTCTGGGAGTCGCCGTCTAGGCGCATGAAATCGTCGAGATTTTGCTACATGAACGTACTGTCAGCAATTAAATTTGAAACCTGCGGGTTGTGATTGACACTTACCCAACTGAAGGATGCATCGGATGAGGACAACCAGGGACCAAAGTCGAGTTCATTCGTGGGCTGAATCGACATCTGTCTAATATCCAATCCAGAATCTAACATGACCCCCATAGAGTTGGCATCTGCTTGATGTGAGCTTGGAAAATGGGTGCCAGCCCCCTCGACTGTCCAAGCATTGTTGATTTCGCCTATGGTTCCATGTGGATGGGGAGCACTCGTTCCAACGGGCTCACGGTATTTCTCCACTTTCCCCAGCATTTTGGAAACAGTATTTGCCGCTTTCCGGTAGCTGGGTTCATCTTGCGCCATGCTCCTCCAAATCGAAAGTGATTCCTCAAGAACACGGTAGAGTCCCGGCTTGTCAAACGATTTTCCCTTGTTAGTCTCTGTACTTGCGGGGAGCTGCAAGCTGATGTAAACAATCATTGCGGCGAGAAGAAAGTCACCCATGAGTATCGGACGAAGAAACCATGCGAATTGGGCCAGCATGGCTCCTGGTCTTGTGGCTGCGAAATGCATCTTCTGGCACTCCAACAGTACAAGGGCCGCTCGAAGGCAGACAGACCTGGAATAACTATAGGCATTCCCTGAGCCCTTCTTTAGTAAATAGCTTCGATGGAGGACGCATTGTGACTTGTGGTACACAGACGCCAGGCTAAACCGCTCCATGACAAGTAAAGGGTCGTCAGTGATACTCTCCTCCAGCGGCCGAACCTTGAGAAAGGACGGGACTTGCTCCCAGACATCCTCCAACTTACGGTCAAGGCGCATCACCTCAGAGTCACTCATGGGCTCAGGAGAGTTTGTCTTCGTCGCAACAGAGCGGAAGATTTGACCGATTGTCGTTTTCCAGATGAAATAAGTGAGAGGGGCAGTCTCACTATCGGGGCGGCTAGGTGGCAATTCATCCAGGTCTTCTCTCAGGTCCTGATCATTTATGTTCCTGGGCAGTTTTGTATCGCTCTCAACACCATTGGCCATGTTTGGTAGCCCCATCTGAAAACTGACAAGCATCTCAATCTGTAGACCGAAGTGCCACATCCGCCGGCGCATTTCGCCCGAGAAAGGGCTGATATTAGACATGTGACATGGATCACGATGAAGCCCCAGTCGTAGCATCAGACGAATGCATGTTGAGCTTAGGAGATAGCATCTTATGGGGGTGGATCGACTGAGAACGAACTCTGCCTCGAGATGCAGTAGCATGGGCGCCATTGTCTCTAATGAGGGCGATGTATAGTTGGCTGCAGTCAAAGCTGCAATTCCCGCAGAGCGATAAGCTTTCACGCGGGCCGTCGGGCGAGTCTGTCTCTCAGCCAAGATGTCCTCAAAAGAAAAGGAACTAGAGAAGAGAGTGGCCTCTGCCAGAATCATAAAGATCAGGGCCAGAAATTCATAGCTAGCGCCAGCCTGATTTCGGCAAAATGATTGATACTTGAGACTTCATTAGTTCGGCATTTAACTATCACTGTCGTTGAATGGCCAGTACCTGATTATTAAAACTCGGGCGATGAATGACAACTATATGACCATTAGTCCTCTTTATCACATATAGCACCATTACTGGAACCTAAGACCTACCCGTTGAAGGAGACCGTGAAGCAAAATAGTGCATGACGAGGCTATTGAGAACTTGGAAAGGCGGTAGAATACTTAGGAGGTCGTGTTTCCCCTTGAAAGCACCCTGAGATAGAAGAAAGCTGTCCAGGTTGCGTTCTTCTGCGCTAGAAGTCGAGCTCAGTATGTCGTCATCCTCGGAATCTGAATTATCGAAGAAGTTTTTGAGATCTTCCAACTAGGATTCATGTCAACAAACAGACGAATTAGAAGCAACTCGGCTGTAGCGTACGTCGTCCAGGACTGTCATGAAGTGTGTAGCTCCCACATAATTGCTTTTGCCGTGCCCTCCAATGACAACCCTTCCCTCGGCTAGAGATTGTTGGGCTCTATCAGTCGAGGAATCCTGTATCATTTCCCTCACGGTGCCTTGAATCTGGCCGAGTCTGGCGGCTATGCTTCGAGACTTTCGCATCTTGGTTGGAAGAGGTTCATAGACGCATTCTTCGGCGGAGCGGCCTCTGCGCTCACATTGCGTGCAAGGCGATTTCCTGTCGCATTTCAGTTTGCCAGAACGGCAGTGGCCGCATGAGAACACAACACGTGGTCGGGGCCGTCTCTGGTGCGGGGGTTGAGGCTTATCGAAAGTCTCGGTCATCGTCTCTCTCGCTTTCGGTCGTAAATGTTTGGTTAATGCACGGTGTTCACGTGCATCCGATGATGGTGATGAGCTTGAAAGAGAAAAGGAAGTAGTTTTTCTGGGGCTTTGCGACAGACCATCTCCATTTTTAGGGCGTCTTTGGAGGTTTAATGTACCTTTCCCCCTCTAACCTCTTCGGGACATTTGAGACTTAATGCTTACAAGCCTTGCTGATGCTCATCTAAGCGGCCGATTTGCTCTCCAACTCCACGGAATTCCGCTGTTGCGAGGGGTAACAACAATTTGTCGTGAAACCGAATCATCATATAGGGCTGTTCTGGTTAGTCAATGTGACAGGTAATCTGCAAGACTTGACATAGTTGTTTTCCGTTGCGGTCAGCAATATCGGCAAAGCTGGTCTCCCTATTTGCTGTGCTGAGCATGATCCGCCACATAGCTATCGATATGCTCTTGACAAATCGGCTTTGCACTGATCGTTTGTTTGAACAAAGAATTAACAAAGCGGAATAGTTCGACCTCCGCGCGATAGGCCGCTGTGATGGAATATTGCAGGGACATTGATTCAGCCTCATGGACAACCAACTGAGCACAGGATCTTTCAGATACTGTGTCCAATATTCCCTGACAGCGGTTGTTGTGTTCAAGTCATCATCGCCCTCGTGAAGTCTCTTTGGGTCACCGCTTACTAACCGTCGAAGCTACCCTGAAGCCATAGCCCAACTTGCCATATGTTGGTCGCTGCAACAATGGCTCTAGCAGAAAATGCCACTCAAAACTGTACACGTCAAGCTTTTATCGGTTGAAATGATGGATTAGAAAGAAGGAAGAAACAACCGAAGGATCAAGCTAGGGAGGGTGATGACTCGGCACTTCATCCCTTCGGCAGTCAACACCATCTCCCGGCAGAGCGAAACGGCGAGCATCATCAGACATCGCAACAACAAGAGCAAGTCAAAACCGTGACTACACCATCGTTCACTGACAGTGCAAATCGCGGGGTTTTAATACCCGTCAGTAAGTCCGCACTGCAATAGACGCAATCATAGAATGTTGAGAGGACGTAATTGGCGGATCGGAATAAGGCAGACTGGTGGATCTGTTTGGCTCTTTCGCCCGTCCGGGCCCGAACACAAACCAATCCCCGATGTCATAATTGCTGTGAGATAACGTACTACAATTCGCTTCGTGAGAAGATTCTCGGGTTTAAGCCGTTAGACCACAGTAACCATCTCATCATCGTTTGTAATGAGGGAAGCACTAGCCAAACTATTTCCTAACTCCGGATCGTTCCAGCCCTATAAGAGCAGGAGGTGAACCTGCTGAACACTCAAACACTAAACACCAAGCAAATAAGTATTTTCTGGTCTGTATTTAGAGTCATATCAGCAAGATCTCACATATTCATTAGTCGTACAGCATGGCTTCTTCGCCCCTCACTATCTCTAACGCCACTGGCTATGGCCTCATGGGACTCACATGGAGAGCCCAGGTGACCCCAGATGTACAAGCTTTCCCTGCTCTGTCGGCAGCAATTGACAATGGCGCTGTCATCTGGTCTACTGCCGAGTTCTACGGCCCAGAAGATCCCCTCGCGGGCCTGAAGCTTGTTCGCCGTTATTTCGAGGCCTACCCCGAGAACGCATCCAAAGTCACACTCTTTGTCAAAGGCTGCTGCGATGTCAAAACTCTAGCACCAGACTGCTCCCGTGACGGCGTACGGAAAAGCATCGAGAACTGCCTGGCCGCACTTGGCGGCGCAAAGACTATCGATGTCTTCGGCCCCTCCCGTCGCGACCCAAGTGTGCCTCTTGAGGAGACGCTGTCAGCTTTGAAAGAGCTCGTTGGCGAAGGCAAGATTGGCGGCATAGGATTGAGCGAAATTGGCGCGGCTACACTGGAGAAGGCTCATGCGCACACACCTCTGACTCTGATTGAGGTCGAGTTCTCTCTTTGGTGCACCGACATTCTGACAAACGGCGTGGCCTCGACGGCCAAGAAGCTGGGGGTGCCGATCCTGGCCTACTCCCCTCTTGGTCGTGGACTTCTCACAGGCCAGATTCGCAGTCCTGCCGACATTCCCGCAGGCGATATCCGCCACTACCTCGACCGATTCCAGCCTGAGAACTTCGACAAGAACCTGGAACTCGTTCGAAAACTTCAGGACGTAGCTGCACGCGAAAAGGTCACGCCTGCGCAGCTGGCATTGGCCTGGGTACGGGCCACCGCAAACACCGAAGCTACAGGCGCCATCATTCCCATTCCTGGAGCAACTGCTGCGCCGCGGGTGGAAGAGAACACAAAGTCCGTCACGCTTTCCAGCGACGTCAAGGCCCAGATTGATGCCATCAACTCGTCTTTCCCTCGTCACGGCGGCCGATACAACGCTATGCTGGAGCAGACGCTATGGGGTTAGAGTTGGATTATTTTGGGATTCATGCTTTTCATGAGGGGAAAATGTGCTACAAAATGCAGAATGACTTCTAGCTACCTAGTCAGTTAAATAGATCCTGAATCAAATTGAAGCTAGCTAGCTCAATTAGTTTAAATTCTTGCTATCGTGACAATATTTCTCATAGAACAATGTGACGCCATGTCAGGTTAGACAACACTTGAAATTCAAGCCTCCGGATGAGAGAGAGAGTTTAATTACAAAGTAAAAAGCAGCAATGGAAGAGGTTCAGAAGAGGGTCTGGGTATAAATTTAAGACAGCAGCGGAAGATTGCAGATCCAACAACTCAACACAATGATTACGAAGGGCAAAAACAACCTCTGTTGGCCAAGGTTGCAACCATTTACAAGGAAAACCGATGACTCACTTGCCATCAGAACGAGCCGCTCATCAGATCCCTATTTACTCTACCGTCTTTCACTTACCTGCCATGGGCACGGCTTCTTTGGTACACTCGTCTTCTATCACGCCAATCTGAACACTTCAGAACAACAAACTTATTTGGCCACAAAGATCGAGCTGATTAACTTGGAATGTTTGGCAGAGCCATATACTTCGGGTCGCTGGTGCTAATCAGAGGCTTTGTAACCTCGGTACAGGTAAACGGGTTGGCTTTGATGGAAGGCACTGAGATCTGATCTGGCATGATGTGTGAATAGAGAAGGCTGCACCTGCTTCAGTACAGTGTAAGTGCTCTTGCCTTTGACAGAGAGCAATCTTATTGTCTAAACCGAGACTGTAAACCTATGATTAGCAAGCGATCTAATGTAAGTTGGCTATGCGAATGCATCCCAAGTCAACCATTTTGATCCAACAAGCCTCCACGTAGGCTAAAGCTACTGGTTTCCGCCAATTCTTAACCTCTAATGAGTGTTGTCAACCTATAATGTTCTCGGAGGTTGGCTCCGCGGATATAGTCCAAAGATGATATTGCCTCGTTTGTCACATACATATGCTTGCCATTGTCGAGTCAGTCATAATTGTGCACTCCATGCCTGGATTATTCAATCAATTGAACATGTACCTACAAGCACTTATCAACCAAACTAATAGCAGGGTATCTAACTATGAGGACAATCCATGTAATCCATCTCTACTTGATCCAACGATGCATGATTGGCTGGTAGTCCGAGGCCCCTGCAATAATTCATCGCTGGCAGCTTCTCATTGGCTTGCTCGGACTCAGCTTGCGCCAAGCAGACCCCATATCGATTATTGTGGTCGCTGTAAGGCTCAAGCAACCCCTTCAACTGTCGTCCTTTGCATCTTGTTACCACTTTTGACTTCTATCACCGGTTATTTGGCCCTATGGCCCCTGTAAAATGCAAACAAGCCTTAGCGATCCGAGATGACAGTGGGTTAAGGCTGAAAACTGTGACCGCACTAACATGCATCAGACAGCGCCAAGCACCGGATGCTCAAAAGTTCTTCACTGCAGATCCATGTACCCAATCATTTTATGGTGTACTTGGCTCCTGTGTCTGGTTTTATTTTTATATTTCACGTCCTTAGACGCCTGTACGCCCCAGATCCTATATAAGGGCGTAGCCCCGAGATACGGGATGTATTCGATCGTTTTTGGCTGCCTCTCCTAATATAATACTTTCTCGAAATCCATCAGGCCGCCTGTGTTTCTCACATGTCCATCTCAACATGTTGAAGGCTCAGACTCCCCAGCCATCGGCTCGCCAGCCAAAGTTCGCATCCGATTCCAGGACTCCCCTCGCAGGCAAAGATGAAGAGATTCTGTTGTCGCCCATCCGAGACGATTTTACACCCTCTGCCGAAGCGCAAATCCCTCTTTACACGAAGCCCAAACAACCTGTCACTGTCACTTACTACACGAAAGCATGGACTCCGGAGATCATTTGGTGTCTTTTGACCATTGGCATTCTCATTGCCATTGTTGCCGTTCTCAGGCATTTCGATGGGAAACCAATGCCTCAGTGGCCCATGGATCTGACCCTGAATACGCTGCTGGCGTTTCTAGCAACGATATGTCGCTCGATGACCATCATTCCGCTGGCGGAGGCGATTTCGCAGCTCAAGTGGAACTGGTTTGCAAACTGCGAGCGGCCGCTGAACGACATGTATAATTTTGACCAAGCGAGTCGGGGACCATGGGGCGCTGTGATGCTGATCGTCAAAGCACGAGGGAGGTGAGCAGACAAGCGCTCAAGTAGGCGAAAGGCGCCAGCTGATCCCCGTGAACAGGTTCTTTTATTTCACCTGGGTGGCGGCCATTGTCTTCCTGTCCGGTCTCATTACTTCGTTCGTCACGCAGTCGGCCATCTCATACCAAAGCACATTCGCAGTTACGGAAAAAGCTGTTGCATCAGCGCCCATTCTCCGATCGTATCCAGACTCCTTTACAGTCGACGATCCCAGTCAGAAGGGTAAGATTTGCTCCCCGAGATGGAAATCTAGACAAACCCTCGAAGCGCTGACACTCAGTAGAGTACTACATTTCCTACGGCATGACCCGTAGTTCATTTCAGGCTGGTACTTACACAGTGAACGAGTCATGGCCTCTCCCCCAACCGACTTGCTCGGAGATCAGATGCGAATGGCCACAATACAACTCATTAGGCATGTGTGCAAGTATTAGCAACGTGACTGATCGACTCAACGTCACGGAAATTCCAAATGAAGGGGACAAACCAGATTACAACGCCAGTCTCCCGGGCGACTTGGGATATCTGTATTGGAAAGCATTACCGGGGGTAACGTCAAACTTGCAAGCGGAGTTTCCAATCCAGTTGAACATAACATCACCGTTGAGCGCTCGTGTTCGCCTCCCGATCGCAGAGGAGATCAAGCGTCCCCTCAAGGACAGATGGAACTCTCTTGGACAATGGAACATTGACGACTTACTTCCCGCTACGATATCCCAAGCCTTTTTCATATTCAGCAATGGAAACCCGGATCCTAGCAAGAAGTTCCGGGCCGTCGAGCTTCTCTGGCACGTTTGTGTCCACACCTACGAGTCGTCATTCGCCAACGGTACCGCCTCGACAAATACAACCGCTCATACTGTCAAGATCAACGAAATGCGCCCATCTCAGGGATCTCAGTATGCCTCCTTCCTCATGGCCAATGAGCACGGAAACTCGACTTTCAACGTCACGGCCAACTACTTTGTATTCCACACCCTGCAGGCTAATCTCATATTCCAGCCAAGCTATAGTACTTACATTATGACGGGTGGCTCCAGTAGTGGTGGCGGCGTGGCCGGCATGTACGGGCACAACTTGGGGCTGAACGTATTCAGCTCCCTTCAAAGCGGCTCCCCAGACGAAGAAATCGACGAGAAGAGCTGGAAAAATATAAACAAAATGACCAACACAGTGGCAGACGGCATGACCGCATTGTAAGTCTTCTACCCAACATCGCCAACCTCGTCATGGCCATAAAAAAAGCTAACTCTATCCAAAATTTTAGTATGAGAAACGGGGACAAAGAAGGCAAAGCAACTGGAATCGCCTACAAGTCGGAGACATATGTGCGGATCCGCTGGGAATGGCTGACTTTCCTGGCGGCTCAGATCTGCCTTACCATTCTGTTCCTTGTGGCCGTCATAGTCCAAACGGCGAAGCTCGACATGGAAGTCGTCAAGAGCTCGAACATGGCGGAGCTGTTTGCTATACATGCGACCGACTCTAAGGATGACCGAGCCACGGCTTCCTACGATCAGGCGGTCCGATATAAGGGCATCGCAACCAAAATTCATCACGCCTCAACCGGGAAATTGGTCAAAAAAGGGGATGGGTGGCATTATATTACAACGAGCTCTTAAAATCTGCCTACAAATTACTCGGGTGGGCGTTACCAAGTCTACACATACATCACTTGAGATGGAAGGCATCTCATTCTTCATTTAGTGTTTTTGCATTAGAAGCAGGTTAGATTGATCTCATAGAAATAAAATCTTTGCGCATGTTTGTTTATTCAGTGTTTCCGGTACCATAGAATTGATTCAAGATAAAATCTTGAAGTCTGAGACTAGAGGCTTTAGAGTGTATAAACCAGCTTGGTCGCACTGATCTTCCCAGCCTTGAGCACCTCAAAACCCTTGATAACACCCTCAAGCCCACTTCCAGTACTGTTAACAGTGGGTTTGATCGGGACAAGCTTGCCATCCTCGATCAACTTGGCAGACAACTCAAAAAACATGGATGCAAACTCCAGCCCGTCCTGCTTGCCGGGCACCTTCTGCCCCATGAGCATAGAGTCTTCGCCCGTAGCGTCATAGGCGGTAGTCATCAAGGGCCCGGTCACTTCGGGGTTGAGCGTTGATATCTCCGTTTGCGGCATGTTTGTGACTCCGTACACACTGGGCTCGGCATCGCTGAGGGCAGTGGTGCAGATGAGTTCACCGTTGGAGAGGTCCCAGGCGTATTTCAGCTTGTTCTTTGTGAAGGCCCTGATATCAGCGCCGCAGGTCGGTGACCGATAGTCGAAGACGGCGTCTGCGCCCAGAGATTTGAGATACTCAAAATTGGATGGAGAGGCGGTCGTGATGACGGTGAGGCCAGAAGCTTTGGCATACTGGATCCCAAGTACTCCGGTCGCCGTACTGCCACCATATATGAGAATCGGGAATGATTCCTTGGCGGGTGATCCGGGGAGGGGAAGTTTGAGCGACTGGTAAAGACCTTGGCCCTGTAGCGGGAGGTTAGTTAATTACCTCGACCGAGCGTCGTTGGGTAATCACTCACGCAAGTAACGATTCCGACTCCCAGAGTTGCAGCCTGCTCGAAGCTCAGGCTATCTGGAATCTTGATTTGCAAAGCTGCCTTGACTTCTATGTAATCACCAAATGCGCCATTGTTGTGATTAGTTTGATCCCTTCCGAAAATGCCAAAGTCAGCTAGGTAGCTCGAAACAATGGAAAAATCTCAAATCCCTGAGAGAAACTCACCCGCCATGAACAAAGCCGGCGATCCTGTCACCTTGCTTGAAGTTGGAAACGTTGGCCCCGACCTTCTCGACAACTCCCGAATAATCGCATCCTATCTTAGTTCCCGGGTCAAGGTTATCCCATACGACGCGCTTCCAGTCTGCAGGATTAAGTGCCACGGAATGAACTTTGACAATCATATACTCATCGCGAAGTTGGAGTATTGGAGCATCAGCAATGATGATGGTCTCCGCATCGGGAGCAACCACAATTGCTTTCGCGGTAGTGGCCATGGCTGAAAAAAATATCAATGAGAAATTTCTGAGAGGTCTTAGCAAGGTGTAAATTTAAGTTGGAATGAGAAACTAGCGAAGAATGCTTGGAGTCATCAAGTTTGAGAAGCTGCAACACAAGTGTTTTATAGTTCGTTTGTTTTGCTACTACCTTTTCTTTCTGGATTTCTAAATCAGGTCTATATCCAAACGATTGATAAGCTTTCAGCCTACCAAGCAGGATTAATGCGTTAGTGCGAGATACCATTTTCGAGATTGTAAAGCATGAAGTTGCGCCGGTTTTGGTTTCCACGGATCGTGAGATTGTTTTCCGTGGAAAATGGGGTGCACTGGTTTGTCATGAGTGGCGACAACGATCGGTCATTGCAAGCCTTGCGCTCCCTAGGTAGTCTAAATGAAAACGGTAGCAACTTATCTCTGAACTCAAAAAATGCTCAGATTAATTTTATCTTTCAAATTTTATGATTGTTCCTCCCTATTTGATGATGCATACCTATTTCGCTTCACTTCATCTCCACTACCAAAACAATCAAAGCTTTGCAATTGGACTCTGTGAATTTCAACATTAACTTAGTTTTATCACCAGGAGTGCCCGAAAAACTCACAAGATAAGACTGGTACTCTGTAATTTGAATCTCTCCGTTGCCAGTTTGTCGAAACTTGATCCGAGAAGCCCAGTCTCTGCGGCCTGTAGACTTGTCGGTATAGACGTATTCGTTGTATCCATGTAGCATGACCTCGTCTGATGGCTTCAAGCTCAAAGCAAATGCTTTGAGAATGTTGTGTTTTCGGCTGCTGAGGTTCTCCCATGTTAATTTGTTCAATTCGGAAAGCTCTTCTAGAGTCATTAGCAAACAAAATCGGGTTCTGGGATGGTTAGAATTCGATGACTTGCTTTTTGGTCCTACTACATTGCCTCCAGCTCGAATCATCACCGCATCCTCAGCAAAACAACCCGCCCACTTCTCAATGGTTTCCTTGCGATCTGCATAGGCATAAAAACGTGCAATAAACTCGGCGAGCACTGGGTCAACCAGTTTTTTATCAAAGGTAAAGGACGCCATCAATTGGGGACTATAGTGACGCACAGGTATGCAAACGCTGACGAGCATGGGTTCAAACAAGGGCATTGATGAATGCTCACAAAGGCAGTCTAATAAACCACGACTCTATCTCACACCGTCCTCATTCGCAAATCCCAGGGTTCGAGCATTCTCCATATTCTATCATTGGCCAATCCCAACAAGCGTAGACACATTCGGCCGTTCCATCGGCTTATCATCCAAGCGGGTCCAGTGTCGGGTCCAGTGTCGGAGCCATCGCCGCCTGACCTATGGCATCGTCGCTCTGCCCCGTGCTGGCGGCGATGCCCGACAAGTAGTAAGGTAGTTCAAACCCATGACTCGCGAGTTTCTCTCGAGGCTCGCTGCAGGCGACGGATCATGGCAACCATGAAGCGGCTGCATTTCCGACAAAAGAGCGGCCGCAGCCGCTGCTCATGATCTAGAGAGACCGTCTAGACCGCTAGCTGGCCGTAACAGACAAGGTCGTATCGCGGGGACCCCATACACAGTCCGGGGGAACACGATCCCTCTGGGGTGTTTCATGCGCGTTGACGATAAATACTCGTCGTTTCTGGCCAGATCAACCAGGCAAGAGTAGATTGTTCCAAGCAACATCTACCGTACACGATATCGCTTTCACCAACTTCCTCCGCCATCATCATGGGGATATTCGCAAAATCATCCATCGCCGCCTATGGAAGGGCGATCCGGGAGACACCACGGGAGGTCATCTGCAATCGGTCATTGTTTTTTGCGGCCCTGGTCCATTCCCTGGCCGGCATAACTGGAAGTGAGTGCTTATAAATATCAAGGATGTTATGTAGTATCCATCGTCAGCCCACTAACACCTACAAGCATGGGATCAGGGCGCTGCCTCCGTCATCTCCACGCTGCCGAGTTTCCAAAAGCAATTCGGTCTTACATCCGGGGCTGCGGCCAGCCAGATTCGAGACATCGTTTCATTCGTCTATCTCGGCCAGGCTGCTGGATCAGCGTTATCGTTCTTGATCAACGATCGCATCGGACGATTGTGGTCGTACCGTCTCTACCTTGGCATCTACATTGTAGCTTCGATGGTGGCGACGTTCACCCCTGGCTGGGCCGGACTCTACGCGTCCAGGATAATCTCAGGCATTGCCATTGGAGCACTCAGTGTCAGCGGCCCGGTAACTCTCAGTGAAATATCCCCAAGCGAGATCCGTGGTCTCCTATCTGCTTGGTTCGTCGTTGCGATGGGAGCTGGGCTGGTCGGCGGCGTCTTCTGTGCGTATGGTGCCTACTTGAACATGCCGGCAATCCAACTCCAGTATCAGGTGGTCTGGTTTGTCCCCGCCATCCTCATGGCTGTCTTGATCGCTGCCAGCTTCTTCATCCACGAATCCCCCCGGTGGCTGATTATGGTGGACCGCTATGAAGAGGGTGTTGAAGCACTTGTTGCACTCCGAGGTCTTCCTCTTGAGCACCCTCGTATCCAGGCAGAGCTGAATGGCATCAAGGAGGATCTTGCACGCTCTAGAGGAGACTCTAGCCGTGGCACATCCGAATTCGTCTCGATTCTAAAGGAAACTTTCACAGTTGCGTCCAATCTACGTCGCTTACAGCAGACTCTCATATCATTTACTTTTGCTCAGCTCTCCGGAGCCAACTCAGTAACATCCTACTTCGTTCCCATTATGAGTATCATGGGCTTGGCTGGTGATGAGACACGCAGCATCTTTCTCAGTGGAATGTATGGCGTATCGAAGCTCGGGTTTACATTGCTAGCCTCATTTTTCTTCGTTGACCTCCTTGGTAGGCGGAAATCCCTCTTTATCGGGATCACTGCGCAACTATTGTCTCATATTTATATCGGAGTATTCATCAAAAGTCATCAGGATGGCGGCGCCAACGAACATGCTTCCCAGGCCGCAACTGCAGCTCTTTTCATCCATGCTTTCGGCTATGCTGTTGGTAAGTTGACACCTGACCCATCTATTGTGGCAATCACAACTAAATATACGTAGGGTTGATGATCCTGTCCTATGTATTCGGCAGTGAGCTCTGGCCCAACAGAATCCGCTCATTCGGCGCTGCCCTGAGTCAGACCTTCCATTGGCTCTTCATCTATGGCGTCAAGTTCAGCATTCCCTCGCTTCTCAAAGCAACCAACAACTGGGGTGCCTTCATCTTCTTCGCCGGTTGGTGTGCTCTGGCGCTGGGCTATGTCTACGTCATGGTACCAGAGACATCAAATATGAGTGTCGAGCAGATCAACGAAGTGTTTGAGGGGCCGTGGTTCAACGCGTACAAACGCGCCAAGTATATTACTGGCAAGCCTGACCCCGATGCCGAAGCCAAACTTCAAACCACCTCGTAAGTCACTACAGTTTATCAGCCAGCGTTGTATTTGCACTAACAGTCTTCGTCAGCCTTGATGGCAAGGATCCAATGGAAGAAGAAGTGCATGAACGGGAGTCTATCAACGCAAAACCGAACCCCAAGCAGTCAGATGATTGATCCACAGCAGCTTTTAGCCCTTCTCAGAAGATTAACTTCTCCGGGCCTTTTTGGTCGTTTTTGTTCTGTTCATGTTTGAGTGTAGATAATAGCTTTAAATGGAACTTGTGGGAGCTGACCAAACTGATGCCCGCATACGGCGGGACTGATTCGTCTCCGGCTGTGCCTTCGATCAGCTTTAAGGAATACTATTCAATAACGAATCAAATTAATAAATCCATATTCAATCCAACTATTCTGTGTAATTTTTACCACCCATTTTTTAGGCATCTCCCCTGACGGCCACACAATGCAAAGGTGCCACACACCTACCAGCAGCATATGCATTACTCCAACAGTGGACTTGTTTCCAGGAACTTAGGTCAACTCCAATAGTACAAAACCTTTTGTAACAGTATTTTAAGTGCAGAACTGGAGGCAAATTTATAATATGATGGGATTTGATATGAGAGTGTTTGAGTATGTAGTTAAACAACAATGGAAGATGCCAGACCCGACAACTCGACACAATGAATAATGATGGGATTTGATTGCAATGTATTGGATCTTACAAGTGCTCTACCATCTTCTCATATTGGCCTTCCCAATTACAGGTGACTCTCTGGCTTTGGCTTGTTAAACTTATTGATCCTCTCCTGCGTGAACTGGAAGCACTTGGGAAGTCCTGTGGCTTCCCAGGGCTCACCAGCCATTAATTTAACCAAGCCGGGCGCACAAGTAAATATCCTAGCCATACCTATTCACTTTCCGTCAGTACTGCAAAATATGTGAAACCAAATATTGGGTGTGAACCTTACCATGACCGTTGAATCCAGCACATATCCACTGTCCATCCAAGCCTTCGAGTTGCCCAATAAACGGCACACTATCTGGCGTCATCCCAAGGATACCTGTCCAGGCATGGTCAAGGCCCTCTCCTCGTCGAAGGGCGGGGCGTGCCGGACTACCTGCAGACGACAGGTCCAAGAACTCGCGGGTACTGTTAGCTGCAAGGGCTGCTTCATATCCGGAATCATCGAATGTAGTCCAGCGCTTCAACGCATCGGGATTAAAGTCCTCGGCATTCCTGACGCCAGTTCCTCCGATGATTATGGTGCCATTGCGAAGCGGATTGAAGGAGAAGAAATTGTGCAGCCCGTACCGCAGTGAGATGGAGCTCTTCGCGATATTCGCGCCTGAGAAGGCCTGTGTCGGCACAAAGGCGTGAACCTGCGATCGTCGAGGGATGATGAAGTCGGCGAGATGAGGGAGGAGGTAGCCAGCATAGGCGTTAGTACAGTGCACCACCGTCTCGGTCGAGATGACGCCACGCGGGGTATGAACATCCCATCGCAGCTGGCTTGAGCCTTGTCCATCATGCGCAATCACCTTGGTCGCTGGGCAATGCGTCCACAGGCGAGCGCCCTTCTTGATGACGTCGGACAGGATCCATTGGCACAGCTTGCCTGGGTGATTTGATCCCGCCGGCCACTCGTAGGCACAGACAGCTCCAGGCACTCTGGTCAGCTCGCGAGCCTCTTCTGCCTCGTGGAACTTTATATGCGAGTCGTCACCACCGGCGGCGCGGTATGATTCCAGCGTCTCAGCCAGCAGGGCTGCGTACGATTGAGACAAGCAAACCTCCACGGTCGAAAAAGCTTGGAATTCGCATTCGACCCCATTCTCGGTTACGAAGTTCTTGATATTCTCCAGCACGACCCTTTCGTTTTGGAGAATCTGGAGGGCTTGCTCGGGGCCATGGAGGGCAGCGAAATGAGGGAATCCGCGAAACGCATCTAACCATAGAATAGGTCAATAGAAATACCAAATGGATGAATACTGATTGCACTTACCAGGGCGAACGTGCCCGGCGTTTCTTCCAGTGGCACCCCCAACTGCCTCTCGAGCCTCCAGGATGACAATGTCTCGTCCCGGCACGCCGCTCTCGATCAATTTCCAGGCTGTTAATGCGCCAGATACACCAGAACCTATAATCACATATCGAGCGGATGACGGGACATTTTCGTGGCTGTTGGAGTTGAGATATGGAAATGCTCGAGTGGTTCGGTGCCAGTAAGACAGGCTCGAAGATGGGCTCGGGAGCTCGGGACGCATAGTTGGTTTTCGAAGACTGGCCGGGCTGTTTCGCGATAGCTGATTAGCGCTCTTGTGGTGGCTGTTCAATGCGTACCATGTTGGCTATGTATCACTCCCCATCCCCATGTCATCATCCCCTGTGAAGTTGATTTTGGCTGAAAGTGGATGGATGGCGGTCTTCGCCGACACTTGAATGGCGGCCCCACCTCCGCCTGGACTGTTTAATTGTGGAGCTGTTGTCGTGCACTTGTCTCATTGAAGTATACATTCGTGGGCACTATATCTAAATATTGACATCAGACGGATAACGTTGGAGAAAAGACACAGATAGGGATGCTGATTGGTAAAAGAGATCCTTGCACTACATAATCGCATTGAAGATAGGCCTTTGAACGATACGGCCATTTCGCTGTTGGGGCTGTACCCTGCATTCTCAAAAATGCACTATGGCATTCGGCTAGCTAGAATGGGAAACTTGGGGGACTGAGTGTATCAGTAGAAGCCTATTGGGGGAAGATGTGATCAGTGCATTCAACGTGTAGAATCAACGGGCAGTTGGAACAGTTTTCGCCCTCTGTCTGTACCATCTGCAGCATCGATTATACTCATTGACAAAGGTCTTCACGGTAGAACAAGAAAAATCCTTCGCATGAATGAGTAGACCTACTCCACATTGCATTTCCCAGACGCCATCATGTCTGCTGGTTGGAATTGGAATATCAGTCCCGCTACAGGGTAACTAAAACCATAGGGCGAACCAGGCCCCACACTCGCCGTGTACAATCGAGTCGGCACTACAGATATTCCGCTCTCTGGCTTAGTCAACTGTTCTTCCCACTAAGGTAGTTGCTCCTCAACACTGATGCTTGGCCTTGACTACTAATCCGCCTGGATTGTGATACTGAGAACGGCGTTGGGGCGTCATATTACGGAAGTTCACTCCCTCATTTCATCTCTTGGGCCCCCTTCCAAATGCTGCGTCGTGGAATCACACCTCTTGGCAAACAGGCACGGCCACAGTCACCACCCCGGTCAAACTTTACGGCATGTCTCCGTTGCCACCAGCGGAAAAAGCGATGCGACAGGAGATTACCAGTAAGCACTTCCTCGGACTGACTGTTTCAAATCTTATATCCACCTTCTGACTGAGTGACAAGGCTTGCAGGCTGTGCGAAGCAGCAGGCGTTGAGTGTGTTGGCTATGACTCGGTATCCAAGCGACAAGTACCCCGAAGGTGTGCATAGCAATGACTCCGCAATGCATCAAGTTAACACTAGTTAATCTCTGGATGGTATTCACAATAGCTATGTACACAGCCTGGAAACACTAGTGGCATCATTGCAGCTCAAACTCCAGCAACATGGCATCGAATGCCCCGAGCTGGGAACGGAGTCCCAGTCCTTTATACCCCGGCCACGCCCATCTGAGCCAATCGCTCAGTCGTCAAGCTCACCTACGTATCCTTTCCCTGAGTCAAACTTGGCAACGGCTCAGACAACATCAGATGCCGCAGCAAGAACCCTAATCGACGTGCAGGAAATGTTACGACCTAGCACTGCTCCTGAACCTATTTTCTCGAAGATGCTTATATCTGGATTGCTGAAGTCTCCCAAACCAACGCCTATGATACCTGTGATAAGCCCACATGACATAGTACTGGAAAAGCAATTTGACCCGGCTCCTTCACCTCGACCATTACCAGATCGTAAATCAGCCGAGTATTTCGTCAAGATGTTCTTTCAGTACGTCAACTTCAGCGTGCCCATGTTGCACGAGCCAACCCTGCGGGAAAAACTCGATCGTCTCTATTCTGAAACAGCGTTAGACGACGATGGCATCAACGTGGATGGACAACTTGACAAGTTCTTCGTGAACATGGTATTTTCAGTAGGCTTATTAGCTGTTCATAAGCAAGACTCTCCCAGGATTCCCATTGCGCTGTGTGAGCAGTATTGCCAGACGGCATTGTTGGCCCTTGAAGCTGTCCCATTCCCACGCACTGTCGAGGGCGTGCAAGCGCTTATTTTGCTTGCGCAATATTCGTACTTGCACCCTGCCGAGTTTGGAGGGTGGAACACCATCGGAATAGCCCTGCAACTTGCGGTTGAGCTTGGATTGCACCAAGATCCTTGCTCCAAGGACTTCGACTGCTTGACAGTGGACATGATGCGGAGATCGTTTTGGGCCGCGTATTCTATGGACAGAAGCGCTGCAATTGCCATCGGAAGGCCGAAGTATCTGTCAGATGGCTTTATCACCGCCAAGGTAAGAAACATACTTCTGATACCCGGATTGAAGCACATTTGGGTCATTGATTAACAGAGTTGCAGTACCCTAGCGATGCAGATGACGAGTACATCACCACTAGTAGTGCCACACAGCCAGAGGGCATCCCTAGAGGAAAGAAGAGATATTGCATCCATTGGCTTCGTTACCGACAACTCCAGTCCGAAATACACACGGTACTATATGAGAGGATGCCATCGCTACACTCGCAGGTTGATTACGCTCGATGGCAAAATACCATGGCTGATGAGATTAAATCATGGTACAATGCAGTTCTTCAGGAGAGCCGCCCCTCAGAAATCGGCAGCAGCAATATTGCTCCACCAGAAATCCTGGAGCTTGCCTTTCAACTGGCCTTGATGCTGATCTACCGCCCATCCCCAAACAACCCAGCTCCGTCCGATCCGGCATTATCAGAACTTGCCACTTGCTCCATGGAAGTGAATCAGCTGTATAAACGTTTCTTTCGTGAGAACAAAGTACGCTTCTATTGGCACGCAGTCGAGAATGTCTTCAACGCCGGAACTTCTCTGATATATGCATATGCTCATTCCGCTGCGGTACGGGAACAATACTCCCGCCGATCACTTGAGGCAGCTATTCATTCTACATCCTCGGTTCTGTGGGCGATGGTGGAACATTTCCCTGCATTCAAAGGTAGGCGCGATGCTTTCGAAGTGATAGCCTCGAAAACGCTGGCAGATTTTGGCGAGCACAATGCGACCGGGGGGTCAAGTTTATCAAGCTATTCGTCCTTCCCGCCGACAAATGTTGAGTACAGAGACGGCGAAACAACCATGGCCCATTCAAAGAACAAGGCGGGGCTAGGCACGCAACAGGTCGACGAGGAAAGTGACAGTCCCCGTCATAACGATCGTTTTGGTACTGGCCAAATTGTTCTCGGGGACGATGAGGGGGCATCTTACCTAGCACTCCCTGTGAATATGGAGGGGGCTGATATGCACGACTCGGATCTTTCAATGCTCAATGCTGAAGCATTTGATATTGATGGGACCCTCGACTTTGACAAAGTATCCGCCAACTGGGAAGAAATGACATATGCAACTTGGCTCTGACGACAGATCACAAGTATCGGGTAAATCTGACACCAATCATCCAATATAAATCTGTCTCATATAAAACAAAGAATATTTATGGTAAGATTCATGGTAAAAATGAATATAAATGGTGACCTAAAGCCCTGGGGTGTTTGGTGATGCAGCAAGGGCCATTTGCATAGCACAAAGCAACAGAGACAGATCAGCAAACGAGAATATGACAGGAATCGTAGCTTCCCTACACATCCGGCGCTTACAGTACAACCAAGTAATCTGCAGGGTGAGCCAGGTGAGTGGGTAGAGAAGCATCCAATGCCAAGCTGTTGGGCGCTGCGTCCGCTGCGATGAAACATTGAGCCCAGCCAACAACCACTAAATCAAAGACTTTCGGTAGTATCGGCGTGCACTAGTCTGAATAGAATCCAAAATACTACACATCATTTTGCTGGGCGGCTCGTGAATGGCCACAGATGCTGGAATGGCGAAAGCCGCCGTAAGATGATTGATGCACAGCGATTCCATTGTGCCCAAATGAAGGACCAACTGACTTCCCACCAACGAGTCTTTTTACGGCCCGTCCCCCTCCACTCAATCATCCGTCGTCCTCACCTCCTCACTTTGCCCACCTCCTCGTGACTCAGCACTGATCACTCACTTTGCGCAAACAAGAGTTTCTCCATCATTTTCCTACTTTGCAAAATACTACGATTTTTGCACAAGACGAGGCCATGGCCCGGCAATTCACCATTTTCTCGCGCTTACCGTCAGAACTGCAATCCCACATATGGTACTGGGCGATTCCTCGTCTTGAGAAACGCCAGATACGCATGGCAATTCACTACAAAGCCTCGGTGACCAGGCACAGCTGCTACGTCCAGACGGGACGGTTCTGCGGCCGTCACGGAACCTGCGAAAGGTCAGTCGAGGACACCCCGTGGAAGCCAGCCGTCTGCATGACGGACGGCTACTTCGCCCTCACGCCAGACTTCCCCGAGGTGAGCGTCGCTTTCCGGGCGCTGCTGCTCAACCTCCAGCTGGCCTGCCGCGACGCCTGCAAGGTCTTCCGCAAGCAATATTCCGCCGCCATGAGAGTATACGAGGAGAAATGGCGTCCTGGTGTTCGTTTTCGTATCCTGCGCTGCGACCCCGCAAATGACGTCCTCGTCGTCATGAATGCAAATTCCGAGCTCGACACTCACGTCCCACCCGGCGAGGAGCAGCACGTCCCTTCCAATATCTCGACCCTCGAAACACAAGAGAGAAACTTTCCGCAGGATCGCGAGCAGTTCGAAAACTTTCGACGAGTGCTCTCGTCCTTCAAGAACGCTGCGTTTCGGTACGTAGACGAGCACCTGCTCAGGACCTTGTCCTTCGACCCTCCACCCCCGGGAGGATCCCTATCCCCGGTGCCAAGCCACGACCTTGAGATCCTCTCGCTCTACATGGAGTCGAGGGAGAACTTCTACCTGTGGGTGGACCCGGATTCGTTCCCAGAAGTTCTGATCCATGGCCGGCAGAGAATAGAAGACCTTGCCATGTTCCGCGATCAGGAGTCTGGGAACGCCGTGGTCATGTATCATGACGCCATGGCTGTGTTGAATTCTTACATGGCGAGTGCGAAGGCCGCGAGACGCCAGTATATTGCGACCGCTGATCACTGGATGCCAATGCCACGGGACATAGAGAAGGTCGGATGCTACATTCCAGCCTCGTGGGTTGGGTTGTTGATTGTTTTCGAATCCGAATAATGCAGATGGCTTTATTTTGGTGGGCTAAAGATGAGACAACTCCCTAGGCACATAAAAGCAAAAATCATAGAAAGAGCGGGGATGAACAGGCAAAGGAATGGCAATCTAGGGATTGTTTGGCTCACAAGAAACATGAACAAGGTAAAAAAGGTACTCGACTTGTCCCCTATCATCTTCAACATTAATCGAAATTTCTTGTCGGTATTGACTGATAGCAAAGGGGTCCATTCCGAGCTGCAATCCACCGGAGTAATGAACTAATTCTCATTTGAATACTTCAAGGTCTGCTCGATTTCATTTGGATGTTTTTTTTATTCTTCTCTATATTTCCCATTTTGGGTTTGCGTGAAAGAGATTTCTACCTCTAAGTGACAACAAAGAGGGCAAACAGTATGTTGGCTCGATCAGTTGTAAGGGGAACAGGGCAGGCAATTCTTAATAGGACTAGGAGGCACAAAATTGTATTTACAAGCCTAAAATTTGAAGCATAATCACATACTGCATGAAGTTATTTTGGGGTGAGAATCGATCGAAAAAAGGACACCTAACGATTCAAAACTATAAGATTTTATTACTTGCGAACAAACTCCAGAAGAAAAAAGAGAAATGCATCCATTGGAATCAATCAGAGCTATTGCGGATGCGAAAGTTAAACAAGGTGTCCATGTCTTCCTTCCCTTTGAGCTTCGCGCCTCTCACGCCTTCCTTCCCTTTGGAACTCGCCCGCATGGTATAGTTTATATGGAGGGTTGTTTTTCTTTTTGTTTCCAATTGGATTTCAGTTCGGAAGCCCAACCCCGCTTTTTTCATTGCCGGGCTACTCTTGAGACTAGTTGCTCTCGTAAACAATTCAATAATCGGGGCTTGGGCTGCATCGTCGTGCTCGTAGCGGAAACCCTTCACGTCGCCAAGCTCACCTTTACCATGATCTTCTAAGAGAAACCATTCGCCTGTGGATGAAATCTCATGAGGCAGTACCATGATCTCTTCCAGGGTTGGCCAGTTCATCTTTGCTTCGGGATTCAGTGTGTCCTCGAAAAGCTCCCTCGAAATGGGGAAGTGCTCTAACCTGAGGTGCTTGAAGCCCCTTTTCTGCGACAGAAGCCGCAGCTCCTGGCACAGCCTATCAACGCCGGCTTCATTTCTCATGTCCTCAGGGTGGCATTGTGGATGTTGTCTGATTCCGGTATCATATTCTCCCAAGATCTCAAGGCTTTCGAGGTGTGGCAACTTCTCACCCCACGTCCCCATCTCATCGGCCAAGTCGGAGCGTTGTTCTTTTGTGTGGTGCTTAATCACAAAACGAAACTTCCTCAGCTCTGGCATTCGTGTCGCCAGATTGCACGAATCCATAGGGTCCATATTTTCGACGATACAGCTGAGTGTTGTTATGTTCTTAATAATAGGGAACCTGAGAAGGGACTTTTCATTTAACCGAAGGTAAGTACCCGAAATCGAGAAGAAGATTGGGTGTTCGGACTCCCACGTGGCCATGTATTTAATGGCGGTGGTAAGGTTAGCCAATACTCTCGCCTGGTAATAAGGGGCGTATACATTTACGCGACTGTCCTCATACTTCGGATAACGTGCAACCTGGTTTTCCTTAAGGGGTATTGGGTGATTGGACATGGCATGGAAATGAAGCTCTTGGATATAGCGAGCCCAGTCGGGCTTCATTTCATCAACAAAGTCCTCGACATCATGACTGAGTATTGAAAACGATGCGAGCTCCTTTCTTTCAACAGCCGCTTTCCATTGTCTGGAGAGGCCGCGGTAGGTCCACAATTTAGAAAACACTTCATCGTCGTTCCTCCCGATATGGTCGCAGATGCGGCCAATGATTTCTTCCCCCAGCTTATTCATTTTTTTCTCCGGAATTCGATGATCGATGATGCGTTTTTTTTTTCGAGATGGCCTACAGGACTAAGTTCCTCCAAGTTGATCGAAACAGGACTCTTCTTTTTATGGACCATCAACGGTCAGGAGTAAACAATCAATACGAAAGTAGCCACACCACTCCCTACATTCAGTCCGCAACAAAGGTAGGTTGTTTCGCACACACCGACCTTGGAAATTTCTTTGTCTCAACTATTAAATTTGTCACCTTCTTCAATTTTTGCAGCCGATCTAAACCGCGATAACAAGTGCGAATGTTTAGTAACAACAGGGAGAAGTCTCACAATGTCCTTATCAAAAAGCCTGCTTTTTATCGCCAAAAATAAGTCAAACAAACTACGCGTCTATTTGTGAGCTCACGTCTCATTGTCCTTGTCCAAGTTACAAAGATGGAAACGTAAGCCTAAAGATGTCTTTTCCGTGAAGACAATGCTTTATTCGCCGCTAAGCATCGAGACTTGATCTGCCTTTGCAGTCACATACAACAAGGGAGCAACTCAATGGTAGCTCTCAAAAAACCTGCGCGGCCTACAGAGATTCAGATCATACATCAATTTATGCGCATAGCAAACATTTTAACGTGCTTCAGATGCCAACCCCATTAAAGGCCGACACTTGATTAAAAGCTTGTGAAGTCTTGCCGTCAATACCTACCGACCATAGGCTAACCACATGTCAAGCGAGAAACAAAACCATTCGGATATGCACGGATTTCAAGTGCCCAGGGCGAGAACCTAGTGAAAAAATCCAAAATGAGGAGAATGCGCTGTAATGAGGAATTAGAGAACACTTGTTGATCGCAAGAAACGAAGGTACAGGGTAGCCACCGGGGATGAGGTGAAGTTGGTGCCATTGAGGATGCGATTAACTTTGTGCAGAAGCCACCCCAACTCAACCTAAAATCTAATCTTATGAAGAAAAACGGGGATTATTCCAGACATTCCGAAGCACATCCCACTTACCGGCCACCCTGCATCCATCTAGACATTGCATTGAGGGTGTTGAAGCCCGGATCTGAGGTGCCGGGTAGTCTATAGCAGCGCTAGCTCTATTGTCAGGCCAGACAGAATCCCCAATAGTCGTAGAAATATCGCGATCCGTCGCTTTCGCAGTGTCGTTGGCTCTACTCGATTAGACGATGGGAACGTGATGGGCGGCTTTAAAGCGGTCTAGATGTAAGCAAATTCTCACAACAAGCCACGAAAGTCGATAATCGCGTTCACCCCTGATGCGACCGGCCTGCACGTGCCAAGAGGAGGAGCTGCGAGACGTCGACAGACTGTTCCCCACACTCCATCGACGAGAGAAGGGCGGGGGCTCATTTAACCATGGCCCAACCACTCCACAGCCCGTCGTTCCGAGACCAAAGGGCAGGTCACTTTATCTGATGTGCGTCCCGAGTATAATAGCAGAGGGCCACCAGAGGACAGGCAAGAACCATCTTGCGAGATACGCCTGAAACTCCACACACACAATGTCGGTCTTCCGCTCCTCGCTGGCAGCTCTCGTTATCGCGGCTCAAGCCGTCGTAGGCGCGCCTGCGACCACCCAGGACTCAGTTTTCTCGACTACATGCCAGGGAAAGTCGTACACTTACAATGAGCTTGCCGGGTACGGATTCGTGCCCAGCGATGCTCTGGATAAGTACGGCGAGACCATCAGCATGGGCTCCTCGATCGCCATGGCCTCTTGGACCAAGCAGGGCTCCAATTACAAGGGAATACTCTATGCTCTCCCAGACAGAGGGTATAATACAGGCGGTACTCTAAATTTCCAGCCTCGAGTCCACAAGTTTGAGGTCACCTTGACACCCGCATCGGGAGCAACGGTTGCCAACCCTGCGTCGCCAAACCTTGCCTTTGAGTACAAGGACTCGATCCTCCTCACCAGCCCCGATGGCCAGCCATTGACTGGCCTGGATGCTGACCAAACCGGTGGTCTTCAATACGCCGGCTTCCCTATCGTTCCAGCTGCCACGTACCCAGGTGACGGGTTTGGTGGTGCCGGCCCAGGCGGCAAGCGTGCCACACTCGATGCCGAGGCGTTGGTTCTCGCCGAGGACGGAGGTTTCTGGATCAGTGACGAGTATGGTCCTTACATTTACAAGTTCGATAGCAGTGGCAAGATGATTTCTGCCACTGCTCCACCTGATGCTTTGCTCCCTCTTCGAAATGGTGTTGTGAGGTAAGTTACTTTCCCCAATCTACATCCAAAACATCAAACAATCTAACGCGACAGCAGCTTCGCCTCGAACAATCCCCCAATTTATGATCTGACCAAAGCGCCTTCTCCCGCCAACCCAACTCAAGGCCGCCAGAACAATCAGGGCTTTGAAGGAATGACCGTCAGCCCTGATGGTAAGAGCCTCTGGGTCCTCATTCAGTCTGCAGCGCGCCAGGAGGGCGGATCCAGCTCCAGCACGCGCGATCACTGTCGACTGCTCCAGTACCGGCTCAAGGATTGCAAGCACACCCAGCATCTCGTGTACAAGGCTGAATACGTCGTTCCCCTGCCAAAGTTCCAGGACGCCACTGGCAAGCAACTTGTTGCCGCCCAGTCTGAGCTGCATTTCATTTCCGACACGCAATTCTTCTTCCTTCCCAGAGACTCTGGCAACGGACACGGTCTGTCCAGTTCCAAGTCGATCTACCGCCATGTTGACATTTTCGACATCTCTGCCGCCACAAACGTCAAGGGTACCGCCCATGACAGCTTTAATACTTCTATCGCCAGCTCAGGTATGCAACCCCGAATGTAAATGTAGTTGATAAGCTAATTCTCATGTCATCTAGCCGGTGTTCTCAACTCGGGCATTACCCAAGCTACCGTCTGCCCCTTCATCGACTTCAACAACAATGACCAACTCAACCGATTCGGCCTGCATAACGGAGGCGCTCAGGACAGCTCTCTGCTGAACGAGAAGTGGGAAGGTCTCGCTCTCGTCCCTGTGGATGGTGGGGATGGTGCTGACAGCAACGACGAATACTTCCTCTTTGCGTCGTCGGACAACGACTTCATCAGCCAGAACGGTACGTAATATCTTTTCATGTTGACGGAATATCAGCTAAACTCGTACAATAGGTGTCACCAACTTCGGAAAGTTTCATTTCGCGGATCCCTCGGGCTATAATGTTGATAACCAGATGTTGGTCTTCAAGCTTACCCTCCCAAAGGGAAGCCGGCCTCTGGTGAAATAATGAGGTACAATCGTACATAACTGTTGCAAAGCTGCATTCCTGGTTTGACTTACAACCTGGGGAGTGCCACCTCATGTCGAATGTCCCGCTAGTAACTATCTTATTGTATGCGGCACATTTACCAAGCATAGAGTGTACGTCAATCCATAATGCTAATTAGACTTCATATTTATTATGATTTCCTTTATGATGATGCTCTAAGTCTTGATTCCACTCTGATACTAGACGATTTAGGCGTCAGTATGCCTTTTTAGAACATCAGTATCAGTTTTATCGATATGTGCATGCCGACATCTCAATTGAACGTCATCTCATCACCATTCCCGGCTGGCTGTGGAATTCCGAATCAAACAAATAAAGGCCAAATAATTTTCCTTTGGTTATTCTAGTACAGGCAGAGCATGACTGTTACCCCTAGAGCAAGCTCCTAAAATTTAACCCGACTCGAGCCCAACCTTTCGGGCTTCAGCCAAACTCATTTCTAGATTCACAAAACTCTCATCCTCCCTAGATCTACCAGTATTACCACTCTCTACTATGTCCATCTCCCCTTTTTTTTTTTCCTATGCGCTCACTCCTGGCTCCTTAAGTGCAACATGACCTCAGCACAATGTAGTTGGTCTTAGAGAACAACGCACATGTCCTATGGGTGAAGTAACACAATTAGGCAAGAAAGTTGACATAGCAACATTATGATGAGGTCCAACTGCATGTCCCGAATGTAGGAGCTCCAGTCCTCAACCCCTAAACAATGGCCACATCTCTTTACTTGCCTCCATCCTTCTTGCTCGCTTCTTGCAAATCATTAATCTTCATCCACATCAGCCCAATGTTGTCTGAAGAGTTCCCTCGGCTCGTCTCGTATTGCGACTTCGCCGCCTGGCCCTCCGGAGTCGGAGTCAGGCCTCTCCTTTCCCTTGTTCCAGACCCGGCACGAGATAGTAAAGCCAGGTTCGCGTCGCTAGCCTGGTTGCTGATGGACAGGATTCCGTCCATCTGCTGCACCTTGCTATTCGTGTCTGCGATACTTGAGTTAAGCGCCGACCCGTACTTGCTCAAATCGTCAGACATTTTGAATGTTGATGCTGATAACTATCAAGGGTTGTCGATACAAGTATCCAATTCTCTCCTTTGAAACCTGGAATCTGGCTTCTGTCTTGAAGGTCCGACTTTGGTAGCGGGTTCAAGTTGGTGAAGATTGTTAGAGACCACAATATCGATTGGGCAGAGTGCACCGGGGCTGTGAAGAGGGCGTCTTGCAAAACGATTCCGAGAAGAAGCTTGCTGAGAAGGTTGGTTTGGACATCAGTCTCCTCGGGAAGGATGTTGGAATTTATTTCCATTGCAGAGCATAGCATCGCGATAGTCCATCCAACCGATTAACAATGGAGATGCGATTGCTCGTACAGCCCATCTTTGAGCCACACTTTGATCTGGAATTCTGTATCGAACCTGTGTTTGAATCGACAATAAATGTCACAACAAGGGATTCCCATATGATCGAGATACAATGAGTCCGAGCTCTTGTGCGCTAGCAATATCCAACAAAGAAAACACCGTTTCTGAATCCTCTTGTTTAACTGCCGACAACAATGCGCATGGATCAAGAAAACAAGATCCTGAGAGTGTACACTCAAAGACTCCGTGTCCATGGATATTATACCTTCATGTAGTCTGAAAATATACCTGTTTTCTATTGTCACTTTGGTTCATAGAAACTGGAAGTTTACAATCTGAGGTTTACTCGGCTGTCTTCACTTTCAGGTATATTTGAGATCTTTTTTTTTTATTTGAAAGTTTTATTGTTGACCCTGAGGGGATTCTTTGTGTTGTATGTAATATAGAGACAATCTATCCCGAATGATACTTGACTTTGTCTAACGAAAGAAGATGATAGAACTGAGTCGCAGCAAAACATGAATCTCAGCGACTGGTCGGCTACAAGCCGTGGAACTACTTACCTGGGCGCAATTCAAGTCCAAATCATTCAACGTGAAATGAAAAGACTGGATTAAAGTTGAAGAGGTCATGCCATGCCTTAGTCAAAAAGAGAATTCCCATTACGTAGGTACCCTTTGAAGAATTTTAAGCTCTTGGAAAGCCATTGATTGGTTTTAAATCCTAACCCATTGCACTTCTCTTGCCAAAATGGCAACCTTGCAGGTCAATTGAAATTGATTGTGGCCAGTGCTTCCCAGATTGACTCGGGGCTTCTGCAAACTGCAGTTATTCACTTAAAAGTTGCGTGCTTATGATGAATTTCATAGAGCTAGTAGCTTGTCTACGGTAGAGCATCACTCAAGTGCATCACGGCTAGGTAGCTCTAGCAAGACTTCAATGTACATCGATCCAAGCTTGCATAAGACCTGATAACACGATAGAATTCACGACTTATTCTTGAAAAAAAAAATCAACGGGGCCCCTCGGTCCTAATCGCCAGTCTGAAGACAGGCAACGGACTTTTCCGTGTGGGCCTGCAAGGTTCATCTCAACCTTGACTTCAAAACTTGGTTTTTTTCGCTCATGAGCTCACCTCGGATGCTATGATCACTAAAACACCACGCGAAACCCAATTGATCGACCAGGGGAACTGATCGAAGCCGGTCCCAGGCGACTTAAGAATCCTTCTATGTCGATCTACTACCCAAAGAAGATGCATTCAGAAATCGCGCAGTCGCTTCCTCGTGGGTACCAATTCAGTGTCTGATGGGCCCGCGGACCAATGCCCCTTCTAGCATCGCGGCAGCGGCAGATCAGGGGATGTTTTTTCTCAATGAGGATCGCTATTTATCAGATCATCTTATCAGATTGCATTCTTCTCCACCGTCCTCCTCTGCGGAGATTTTCTTACGTAGTAGCGCCGGCACATGTCCCTTATCAAACCGACAGCCGGACGGTACAACAACGCGAGACATCGGTTCACGGCTCTCCGAGCAACATGAATCTACCTCTCTACTTCACGGTGATCAATTCTTTTGATAACTCATGCAGCTGAAATTTTAATATATGTGGGGATAAGCTCACTCGCAGTCGACCACCTTCTCCTTCTCCCGACACCGACAATGCGAACGTCCAATCCCGTCTGATTTGTGGTCCGATCCGGAGGGTGTCGATCTTCACTGCATCAAACAGCTAGCCGCCGACATCCGTAATGACTGTGTTATATAGAGTTGATCGACAGCCAAAAGGCATGAATTTCCAAGGAGAATCCTTATCCTCCATCCTTCCTCGTTTTCGCTGCTACACTTCATCAGTTTCTTAGCCCAAACATGGCTCCCCCAATCCTTACAGCATGTGCAGTCGCTGGGCTGGGGCTGCTCGCCTCAGTTGCTGCCGATGAGACTTCGGAATCCTGGCCATATCAAGTTTTCAAGTCAAGGCCAGACCTTCAGCCCCCCGTCCTAGAAATTACCAAGACCGGCACCACCGCTGAGGGCTACCTCTTCTTCACTCAAACAGGATCGACCGCCCATAATTATTCTACACTCATCATGACGGATGATGGAGAGTTGGTCTACTCAAGCGCGATGGGGGCCTACACAAACTTCAAACCCCAACCGTACAAGGACCAGGAAGTATTGACCTATTTCCACGGCATAACATACGGTGAGCCATGGGGTATGGGATACGGCATCGTCCAGGTACGAGACAAGAACTACGAGAGTATTACCAACGTCACTGTCGAGGAGGGCATAACTGTCTTGGGTTTTGTCGAGACCAATGACGACTGGCTGTCTTACATTGACATGCACGAGTCCCAGATGACATCCGAGGGCACGATGCTCGTCACTGCGTACAACAACACTCGGACAGATTTGAGCTCAGTCGGTGGCCTCAAAGATGGTTATGTACTGGACGGGGTTTTCTTTGAAATTGATGTCGAGACCAATGAGGTTGTTTTTGAGTGGAGAGCAACCGATCACGAGGATGAGATCCTTTACACGGATGCCCTCAAGTACTATCCCCTAGAGGATTTGGGCCAGAACAGCTCTTATCCTTGGGGACCCTTCCACATCAACTCGGTTGAAAAGTTCAAGGACGGCTCTTACCTGGTGTCCTCAAGATTTTATTGCTCCATTTTCAAAATCGGCACAGACGGCGCAGTGCAATGGCAGCTCGATGTAAGCTACCGTTCAATTTAATATTCCCTTTCGAGGGGACGCCCAGCTAACTTCAATTGATAGGGACAAAGCGGAGGTGATTTCGAGCTTGCCAATGGACTCGCATTTGCCTACCAGCATGACGCCCGCATCCATAGCGAGGAGGACGGCACATATCTCATCAGCCTGCTAGATAATGCTTGGTCCAGTGTCAACAACGAGCACAACGGCCTGACCAACACCACCGGGATGTACCTCTCAGTCAATGAGAAAACAAAGGTCGCGACCCTGGTACAGAAGTTTGAGGACCCAGAGGATGGCGTCATCGCTCGCTCCCAGGCCAACATGCAGGTTCTACCCAACAAGAATGTCTTTGTGGGATACGGCTTCTCGCCAAAGATGAAGGAATATGACAGCGACGGCAACGTTGTCATGAGAGTCAAGTTTGGAGAGCCGTATGAAGTCCAGATGTACCGCGCGTTCCGCTTCCCCTGGGTGGGCACCCCTTCAGCACCTCCTGATGTCTTCGCTTGCCACGCCGACAATCAGACCCAGGTTTATATGAGCTGGAACGGTGCCACTGAGCATCAGACCTGGAGTGTACTGGCTGGAGACTCCCCGGACAATCTCCAGTCGGCTAGCGAGGCAGAAAAGGCTGGCTTCGAAACCATGGTTGCTGTCCCAGGTCAACGTTCATTCGTGCAGGCTGTTGCTCGGGGCAAATCTATTGAGGAGGGTCGTTCTGAAGTTTTAGCTGTGAGCTCTCAGTGCTAGAATAATCACATTAGAAGGCTAGGTCTCAGCTACTACTCCTAAAGGTATTAAGAGCTCACTTTTTTGTCATATCACCGACCCAAACCCCATTTAGATATACTTTGAAACAGATGTTGCCGATACCTGATAGTGATCAAGATCTCAAATCCCGGAATCTCGTCGTGATGTTGAAAGTGGATGCTATTTGTCTGGGTCTGGCTTTGAGGTGACTCTGCCTCCCGCCGGGGACTATGTTCGAAGGCTGCTGTGAGGGTCAAATAAATTCAGACGGTATACGTATAAAACAAGCCTTTTTTTTCTTTTCGGGTAAGGCTACAGTGCATTTTATTTCTATGTCGGTAGCCATGAAAAAGCTGCTGATGAGTCTCTGATCTCATGCTCTAGGGTAGGTAAAACAGTTTGGCGTCTACAGCAGGAATGATTAAGTAATCACCAACTGCCTCGTCTCACCGAAAGACCGGAACGACTGGCTCATCCTCTTCGTCTCACCTCACAAATAAACCAAGATATACTTATCAGCACTGCACCATGCCGGCAGTCCCAGCATCCTTTCAATTTGTTGACCACTCAGCCATCGACAAAAAGGCCCGGCGAAGCATTCGCAGCCATGTTATGAAAGGCAAGAATGTGGGTAAGGTGCGCACTCCACGACGACATCTGGCTGCTACCAGCGCGGTTGTAGCTACTACCTCGAAACCCAAGGATGTGAACCGCACCCAAGAACCCGCCATAAGCCACGAAATCGACTTCTTCCAAGCCAGATCCTCTCCTAAGCTCCTCGTCCAGCTTGGAAATGAGTTGTCAGGCGTCAAGATGCCATGCTCAGTATCGCGTCAATCAAGGAGGTTTATCCATGACTGTTTGTGCCCATTCTTTCGCAGAAGATCCAACGTCGCTAACCAACCGCATAATATCAGTCATGTGTTATGTTGCCGACTCGATATATCCGCCGGAGCTGTGCCTAGAACCATACGACATTGTAAAAGATATCTGGATCAGGTACATGTTCGTTGATGAGGCATGTGAGTATGTCCATTTATTGCACAGATGCAGGGACTTCTTCTCATCGCTTTCGCACAGACTACCATTGCCTTGTCGCTCTGTCTGAAGCATGTATTGGTTTTATAGTCCAACGAGAACAGGACTCGGCCGAGTTTACCCAACATCTAACGAGAGGGTTGCAACTCATCAACGTCA